GGCCCCCTAGCCTGTCCTAGCCGCAGCGCTCGGCCCAGAAAGTGTCTTAACCTAACCTAACCCTAAATAAATACTAATTTAATTGAAAATTGTTGTTTTTATGTTTATTTTATATTTAAACATTTAAAAAAAATATTACTCATCTATTATAACCTCTGAAATAAAAATATTACTCAACCAACCAAAAAAATATTGCTCATCCAACCTAAAAATATTAATGCTCATCCCACCTAAAAATATTGCTCAACCCACCTAAAAATATTGCTCCACTGACCTAATAAAATTGCTCAACCAACCTAAAAAAATTTCTCAACTGACCTAAAAATATTGCTCATCCGTCCATAAAATATAGCTCATCCGACCTATAAATATTGCTCATCCGACCTAAAAATATTGCTCAACACCTAAAAATATTGCTCATCCGACCTAAAAATATTGCTTAACCGACCTAAAAATATTGCTTAACCGACCTAAAAATATTGCTCATCCAATCTAAAAAAATTGCTCATTCGACCTAAAAATATTGCTCAACCGACCTAAAGATATTGCTCAACTGACCAAATAAAAATATTGCTCATCCGACCTAAAAATATTGCTCAACCGACCTAAAGATATTGCTCAACTGACCTAATAAAATTGCTCAACCGACCTAAAAAAAATTTCTCAACTGACCTAAAAATATTTCTCATCCGACCTTAAAATATTGCTCATCCGACCTAAAAATATTGCTTATCTGACCTAAAAATATTGCTTAACCAACCAAAAAATATTGCTCAACCGACCTAAAAATATTGCTCATCCGCCCTAAAAACATTGCTCATCTGACCTAAAAATATTGCTCAACCTACCTAAAAAATATTGCTCAACCGACCTAAAATGAATGCTTGTCTAACCTAAAATTGTTGCTTTAACCAACCTAAAACATATTCCCAACTGACCTAAAATATATCAATAACCGACCTAAATATATTTCCAATCTTTAGGTCAGTTTGGGACATTTCGCTAATCGAACCTACAGATTTTTAGGTCGGAAAAACGTTGGGTCAGAAAAACGTTAGGTCAGAAAAACGTTAGGTTCATTTCCTCTAGGTTCAATGAGCGGGTACCGAAAATTTGACAGCTCATTTATAAAAGCCTGCAGTGCAAAAGGACCCGGCCTCGACCTCACATAACCTATAATAGACCTAAAAAAGGGTGAGACCTAAAATGACCTAACCTGACCAAAAATAACCTTAGACTAAGGTCGCCTAAGGTCGGTTTGGGTCCTTCGACCTACCTCGACCAAAAATGACCTAAGATTAAGGTCTCCTAAGGTCATTTTAAGGACGTTTTAGGTTGCCCGACCTAGATCGACCTAATTCCAGGGGCGTACGAGGGGGGGGCAGGGGGGCCCCGCCCCCCTCTACGGGTGCCCCCCCTGAGAGGCTGATGGGGGGCATCCATGGGGGAGGCTCTTTTAATATTACATCTGCTTGCATTTCCCTTCCTCAGGTCAGGCACAGTGGTGTACCTAGGGGAGACAGTAGTCCTAATAGTTCAAACGTACCATAGTTCAAACGGCAGTAGTTCAAATGCGGATCCACCGCGGGTACCGTAATATTACCACAATGAATTCCAACATACCAAAGACGACTTTTTAAAACATTTTTATAAAACAGGATTGAGAATGTACAATGCCGCCAACCCAATCTAAGTTGAGAGTGGCGATCGTTTTCGCGCGCCGGCGATATTATGGTTATTTTCGCTTCTAATCTTTAAATTTTCCAATTTTTTTTTATAATTCAAATGAAAAAGTTTGATTTGTTCTTTTTAAAAAAAAATGAAAACAGTTATTTTTGCCTTATTTCACGTAAATTTGCGTCCTTTGTCACTCGATATTGTACTACTTAAGGTTTAATTTCGCAACGCTTTTACACTTAAAAAGCCTAGATTATTATTTACAAGTTAGTAGTAGCCGTTTAGCACCCTTGGTGAGCGGTTGTATCTTCTGTTTCGATTATTTGGGGTCTGCTCTAGATTAAGATTTATTTAGGGTCAGGTTAAGACACTTTCTGGGCCGAGCGCTGTGGCTAGGACAGGCTAGGGGGACAAGCGCTGCGGCCACGGGTTAGGTGAAGTTAAAACGCTCTCTGGGCCGAGCGCTGCGGCTAGGACAGGCTAGGGGGCCGAGCACTGCGGCCACATTTAAGATCCATGTACAAAATTGATAGTAGGGAGGGGGGGTCCAAAAAACGTTCTCTAGGAAATTACCATTTGAATTATTTCAGGGTTATGTCAGGTTAGGACAATTTCTGGGCCGAGCGCTGTGGCGAGGACAAGCCAGGGAGCTATGTGCTGCAAACAGGATTCATCTTCAATTTCAACAATTTTCATCAAAGTTGGTATATATTTAGGGGTAGGTTAAGACAATTTTAGGGCCGAGCGCTGCAGCTAGGACAGGCTAGGGGCCGAGCGCTGCGGCTAGGACAGGCTAGGGGACTGGGTTAGCTATTATATCCATGTACCAAATTGAATGGAGGGGGTAGGTTCAAAATTCGTGCTCTAGGAAATAACCCATAAAACAATGTCATTATATTAATCAATTTTATTTCTCAATCTAAGTTATTATAGCTTATGTTGTTGTTTCAGAATTGACTCTGTGTCTTTTGTAAATCGATGTTAGTGATCCTTTGTTAAAAATGTCTATGAAAGTTGATAAAGATGCGTTTTATAAACGTGTGAAGATTCTTTACACGGCAATCAAGGTAAAAATGTTTATTGACCGAAGTCATCCATTGAAATCATGATGAAAACTTGAAGTGATTGCTTATAGATAAACTGTGTTACTGTATTTCTTTATTTACAATTTACAAGGAACGCAATTTTTGTATTTTGCATTGTCTGTGATATATATTAAATATAAGATATTTATGCATACAAATATAAAATGTTGTTTCTCATTCAACTATTTTTTCCTAATTTTTTAGAAAACAAATATTTGAAGATTTTTCCGTTTGTATCGAAATTTTTAATAATTTGTATTGTATGCATGCATGCAACTTTTAAAAATGTTGACTAGGGTTAATGTTAGGTTCTTGGTCTCGATTGATTTCGCAGTTTGAACGTGTACTGGACACATATTAACAATCTGACAAACCAAATATATTTATATAAATGTTGATATTAATCCTGATAAAGGATGGTGACGGTGACTGGGGTAAAGCTGACTGCCTGGTGTGCAGTGTAGGGGTGGACGAGGATATTGTTTACTCGAAATCTACCGCTCTTCAGTCCTGGCTCCTCGGATACGAGTTAACAGATACCATCATACTCTTTGGCGAGGTGGGATTTTTACCATGTTGTTTAAACTTCCTTTTATGCGCAATGAACCCTTTACTGCAATTGAATAATCAAACAATGTTAAACATGCCCCCCCCCCTCCCCCTCCCACCCTTTACATTTTCATAAAAATCCCAATTTATCCCAAAAGAACCTGCAAAGGGGGTGGGGTTTCTAGAAACACCCTGTTACAATTGGAACTTGATAAATTTTTGTCACAATGTAAAATAATTTTATGTGTAAAATAAATTTACACATAAAATTGAATTTTCACTTCTAATTTGTTTGTATTGGAAAATAAGATATTTACCAGCAAACTGTTTTCTAGGATGCCATCACATGCTTGGCAAGTAAAAAGAAGATTGAGTTCCTTCGTCCCTTGGAAACCAACCTGGACACATCAGGGACTGTTCCCAGTATCAAACTACTCGTCCGAGACAAAGATGACAAGGACAAAAAGAACTTCAGCAAGCTTGTCGAGAGCATCAAGGGGTCTAAGAAGGGAAAGACCCTTGGTGTATTTGCCAAGGATAAGTTTCCAGGTCCCTTCATGGATCTTTGGAGGGAAACCATTAAGAAGGAAGGGTTTGAAAACGTTGATCTTACAACCGCTTTTGGATACTTGATGGCACCTAAGGACGATGCTGAGTTAAGCATTATCAAGAAGGCTGCCGGACTTAGCTCAGACATCTTCAGCAAGTATCTAAAGGAACAGATCATGGATATTATCGACGGGGACAAGAAAAAGAGCCACAGTAAGCTCTGCAAGGATATTGAAGATCAGATTCAGAACAAGGACAACAAGCTCCTCGCCAACATGGATAAATCGTCGATAGACATGTGCTACCCGCCGATTATCCAGTCCGGTGGGAACTATAAGCTCAAGTTCAGCGTTGTATCTGACAAAGATAATATTCATTTTGGCGCAATCGTCTGCTCTCTGGGTATTCGATACAAGTCCTATTGCAGCAACATTGTCCGAACCATGTTGGTTGATCCTTCCCAGCAGGTCCAGGATATATACACTTACCTTATTTCCTTAGAGGAGCTCATCATTAACAAGCTCCAGGACGGAGTTAAGCTCAGCGAGGTTTACAATGCAGCTATGGAGAATGTGAAGAAGGAGAAGCCGGAGATTGCTGATAAAATCAATAAAAACTTTGGGTTTGCCATGGGTATAGAGTTCAGGGAGGCAGGTTTGATCATCGGACCAAATTGCGATTTCAAAGCCAAGAAGGGAATGGTGTTCAACATAAACGTTGGAGTGACTGGAATCACCAACAAGGAAGCTAAGGATAGCAAGGGAAAGAACGTTGCTCTGTTCCTTGGAGATACTATCGAAGTAAAGAGTGGAGAACCTGGAAACATTCTTACTCCAACCAAGAAGAAAGTAAAGAACATCGCAATCTTCTTGAAGGATGACGACTCTGAGGATGAGAAGGAGAACAAGGATAACAACCAGGAGATAGATCCAACAGTGTTTGGAAGAGGGAAGAGGTCTGCTGTTCTTGATCAGAAGCTTAGAACAGATCATACAACGGAGACCAAAAGGAAACAGCATCAGAGGGATCTACTGGAGAAGATGAACGATGCGGCCCTGAAGAGGTTGCTGGAGGGGAAGAAGGGGGATGACAAGGTAAAGGTGAGAAAGGCTCCGGTCAGCTATAAGACTCCAGGTCTTCTTCCCAAGGAAGGAGAAGTAAAAGAACTTAAGATTTACGTTGACAAGAAATACGAAACCATTATAATGCCGATATTCGGTGTTCCAGTTCCATTTCATATAGCCACCATCAAGAATATATCTTCTAGCAAGGAGGGAGACTATACTTACCTGAGGATTAACTTCTTCCATCCTGGAGCAAGTATAGGCAGAGATGAACCTCGGTACACAAACCCTGAAGCTACCTTTCTCAAGGAGGTTACATACCGGAGCACTAATATCAAGGAACCCGGAGAGTTAACAGCTCCCAGCGCTAACCTTGATACCGCTTTTAAGCTTATCAAGGATATTCAGAAGACCTACAAGGCCCGTGAAGCTGAGGAGAAGGAGAAAGCTGATCTTGTAGACCAGGATAATCTAGTTATCTCCAGTGGTAAAGGAAACCCTAGACTCAAGGATCTGTATATTCGTCCCAACATTGTGCAGAAGCGGTTGTCTGGTATCCTAGAGGCACACACCAACGGGTTCAGGTACACCAGTATCAGAGGGGACAAGGTGGACATCATGTACAACAATATCAAGCACGCTCTTTTCCAACCCTGTGACGGAGAGATGATTATACTTCTGCACTTTCATCTCAAGAATCCAATTATGTTCGGTAAGTGAAACTTAAAGGGGAACTACTGAGAGGGGGGGGGGGGAGAAATTATTTTAGGGGGATAAATTAAATATTTTGAGGCGTTTTTATTCATGTAAAGCTAAAAGCAGTGACTAGGATCCGGATCCGTTGGATCCGAAAGATTTTGGCTTCCTGAATCCGGATCCTCAAAAAAATGCGGATCCACGGATCCGGATCCAAGGCGTACAAAATCAACCAAAAACTGCAAAAAAAAACTTTTTTACTCCTAAAACCCAAATCTTAACTTTTGAAAAAAGAGGGATTATAAAAATTTCCTCATTTCTTAATGGTTCAATCAAGTGTTAGGATAAAAATAAACGGAAAAAAAAACAAAAAATTAAAAAATAATTGTTTGCTAAAAATTCAGTGAATCTTAAAGAAATGATCCGGATTTGGATCCGGATCCATTTTTTCCAGTGCGGATTCAGGATCCAGATCCGCAACAAAATTAAATGGATCCTAAGCACTGGCTAAAAGGTAACATAGGGAATCCTGAATGTAACTCTTCATTTTTGAGTGTCACTCGAAATAATGTCTATAGTCCTTTTAAGTATTTTTAACGTTTAGGTAAGAAGAAGCAGCAAGATGTTCAGTTCTATACTGAGGTTGGAGAAATAACAACAGATCTAGGGAAGCATCAACACATGCATGACAGGTAGGTTTAAGATTATTCTGTACAGTGTACAGAATACACCCGGAATAGATCTAATTTTTAAAGGCCGAATTTAAAGAAATGGAGGTAGGTCTAGACTTGGCTCAACTGCCTACCGCTGGTTCAAATTTGAACCACCGATTTAAGTCCTTCCTAAATTATTAAATTTGCATCAGTGATATAAAATTTGAATCGGTAGTGGGTAGTTCAGCTACGCAGCTCAAATTCTTTAAGATCGGTCTCAAGAATTGGATATAATGAAAAGCAAAATTGTTTGACTCACCTGTTTTGTTCTGTTGATTTCAATTTAAATTCATTATGTTTCGAATATGTAAACAAACAAATAATTGTTGCTTAATCAACCAATTAAAGGAGAAACTTCACAGAAATTGTCATTTGCTTCATGCTTCTATTTAGTTCGGAAAGTTTTAACGTCGGATTCTGCTGCTGAACATGTTAAAGAAACTCTCCAGTTTAAACTTTATATTTNTGTAACTATTCCAGGGATGATCTGGCCGCTGAACAAGCAGAGCGTGAACTCCGACATAAGCTCAAGCAGGGGTTCAAGGGGTTCTGTGAAAAGGTGGAACTCGTAACTAAAGGAATTCTAGAGTTTGACTCTCCCTTCAGGGAATTGGGATTTCAGGTTAGATATATTTTTTTTGCTTACAGTTCTAGATAAAATGTAGAGCTGCGGAATATATTGTTGTATGTGTTAAACTCTTAGAGAAATGTAACATAAATGCAAAAATGTTCTAGGCCCGATGGGTAAAATATAAAAAAATTGCATATTCCTAACATTACCTGTTCGATGTAGACTTTCGTCTGGAAGATTTTTGAAATTCCATGGGCAAGCAATGTCAACACTTAGGCTATTTTATTATTTTTTTAAAATTTCATTTTATTTTTAGGGAGTTCCTCATCGTGAGACCGTCCTTCTACAGCCGACCTCCAGCTGTCTGGTAAACCTCACCTCCTGGCCTCCATTCACCTGTACCTTGGAGGATGTCGAGCTGGTTCACTTCGAGAGAGTTCAGCTCAGTCTTAAGAACTTCGACATGGTCTTCATCTTCAAGGATTACAACAAGAAGGTCGCTATGGTTACATCTGTACCTATGACTATGTTGGATCACGTGAAGGTAAAATTAAATCAAATGCCGTAATATTTTTTTCTACTTTTGTAGAAAATCACGGAAGTAATCCATTTTTATAACATACGGGGGAATCAACAAAAATGTAATAAAGAAAATTCTTATCCTAACTGTAATGCAGGAATGGTTGAATTCTTGCGATATCAAGTATACGGAGGGTATACAGTCCCTAAACTGGACGAAGATCATGAAAACAATCGTCGACGATCCCGAGGGATTCTTCGAATCCGGCGGTTGGAGTTTCCTTGATCCCGAGAGTGATGGAGAGGAGGACGATGATACTGACGACGAAGATGAAAACTTCGAGGGAAGTGGAGAGGAGGGAAGCGAATACAGCGAATCAGATGATGATTTCAGGAATAATATTAATTCTAATAACCTTTCCATCTTTAAATCTAAACTAAGGATACGACGATTAGGGTCAATTTGTTTATTTGTCAATTTTATATTCTGACCCTCCTCCTCTAAGATAGTTTTCTTAATCGTTTTGGTTCGTTTTTTAAAAACTTTAAATAAAACTTTCAACATTTCAAAACTTTACTCTGCTGAAGTTTGCTTTTTATAAACTTTGTATTATGTTTGTCTCAAAAAATGAAAAGTTTTTGGTTTATATTTTGTATTTATCTTCTGCCAGGGTCAGGCAGTAGTAGAAAAGAAGATGTTTAGAATAAACAATTTTAAAAAACGTTTGCTTTTCTAAGACTATGCCAAATTTTGACCTAGAGAAAGATAAATGGGGAAAATGAACCATAAACGAACCACAACACTTTGTGAAGAATGAAGATGAATTTAAGAATAAATATTTGTTTGTGTTAACAGTGAGGACAGTAATATATCTGACGAGGAGAACTATAGCGAGGAGCTGGACTCGGATGAGAGCTCCGGCAAGGATTGGTCTGACCTCGAGGCCGAGGCTGCTGAAAGTGACGAGAACAGGTTAGAACAGGATCCTCGGGATCCACGGATTGATAAAGTTAAGTCTTCAAATTTGGTAAACCTCATTGAGTAGGTAAAGGTGTTAGTTCCACATTAAAAATATAAATATTTTGTTCTGGGTTGACCCTCTTTTTTCCTGAGATTTGTTTCTACAGGGTGTCCCGAAAAACATGGGAATTCAGTGACGAATTCGATATCGTCTTTGTTATGAATTAGCATTGTAATACCTAATTTCAAAAGCTATAATATTATTATGTCTGCTAGAGTTTATTTTATGAAAAGGGTAAAAGACTGTAAAGATGTGTCAATAATGTATCCGCAAGATGAACAGTGAAGACGGACAAGTTTACTCTGTTAGTATACTGCAATTTTCTTGTTTTACTAAGTACATCCGTATGTAGTCAAAACATAAACAAACAAATTGTAAACATAGCAGACGAAAATCTTACAGATTACAGCTTTCTCAGTAGGTATCACTATACTAATTCAAAGAATTATTTAAAAAGACGATATCGAATTCGTCACTGAATTCCCATGTTTATTGGGACACCCTGTATCATCAGATTCAAAAGAATTGTGTTCTCTAAAATGCAGTCTTTTCTAGGTGACACCAGATTGATCTCAATCTATGTGAATTCAGGATCTGGTTCCACATCGAAGTTAAAATAATAAATCCCGATATGAACCAAATCTGATGGAGAGGGGGTGGGGGGGTTATGATAAATAAATACAATTGACATTATTTTCGAACACTTGCTAGTTTTTATAATTTTTCAGGTCTGAGCCTGAGGAGGATGGATCTAGGAAACTTAAGCCTGGGAAGAGTGGGAAGAGTAGGAGAGACAGGGATGAGAAAAGTTCAAGAACGTCCTCCTCCAGTAAGAAAAAATCAAGCCACAGGACTCCGGAAAAGAAATCCAGCCACAGGAGTCCAGAGAAGAAGCACAAGAGCCACGACAGGGACAGGGATAGGGACGGAAAGAGGAAAAGGGAAAGATCCGGCTCCGGTCACCACAAGTCCCCGAAGAAGAGCAAGCGCTAAACCCCTGAGCATTTTATTCAGTTTTTAATTGCCCCAAATATATACCTAGCCCTAAGTTTTTTCTAGAACATTTAACCAGAATCTGTAAACTTTTCCAGATTGAGTGGGACGGGGTTCTGGGGAGTGATAAAATGGTTCTAACGGAATAATATAGATGAGACGAGACGGGAGAAAATGATAAGTCCGACCCCAGCCGAGATATCAGATAGACTCTCTCAGGTGCCCAGACTTATCAATTGATTGAGTGCTGGTTGAACAATCAAATGTCCGACCCATTTTTTTTAACTCCTACGCTTTCAGGGCGCTTCGCACCCCTCTTCAAGTAACAACATTGCTTTTTGCTGCCTTCCTTGTAAATTGTATTTTGCTTTTTCTTCTTATTAAATTTGCGCATGTTCAAGAATGACTTATGTTTTCATTTTTTCCGAGCAAAGTTTTTAATCTTTAAACACTCATAACCATTCCATTAGGTCTTTTACTTTATACTTGCTTTACAAGAACAAAAAGGAACTACATAAGTTTCCATGGGCCATGATATGATGGATGCTTGTTTTTAGATCAAATATTCAATATTTCTTTATTCTAGGCACAACTCAATGTTGGTCTTGCCGCCCCTGAGCTTGAATTGCTCAGGGGCGGCGTTGATGCTGGTATCCGGGGTGACCCTGAGAGGAAAGGGGGATTGATTGCGGATCCCCTGTGTGATGCAGAATGGTACTGGGGAGATATTACGAGGCATGTTTTGGAATTACCTTTTTTTTAATTTAAGGATAATTAATTTTTTTTTACTTAAAGGGATAATTTACGAAATGAAATGGGATTAACAGACGATATTTCTATTTGAACCATGCACTAATTTCATATAGAAGTTTCTGTCAATAATATAGTGTACAAAAAAACAGAGGGAAATGATGCTTTTGAAGTAGCCTTAACTATTTTCAAAGATTGTGGAAGGGGATATAATCTGAGTTATTTTGGATAGTTCTTATTCGAAATTTACCTTATTTTCCCTAAACCAAGTTCAGTGATAAAAGCTTGAAAAAGTTGGGTAACTATTTTATATACTTTTATTATACTTTTGATATACCGGAGGGGTGATTTTTCTAAGAAATATATACTTCATAAATATTCGATAATCAAAAATATAATTTGTCACGCGTAAACGTAACAAAAGATATTACTAGGGAGGAGGTGAATGAGAAACTAAAAGATACTCCTGATGGAACCTTTCTAGTTCGTGATGCATCATCCAGGGGGGGAGAATAGAATTAACCCTTACATGTAAGTTTGATTAGTAGCGGATTGGTATTGTAGCTATTTAACAATAATGTAGCTCATAAAACCTTTTTCAAAGAACTAAGTATATAAATTGTCTTTTGTCAGTTGTGTGCTAGCAACAGGACGGTTCGGACGAAGACTTCAGTGCTCCGCTTTAACTAGCTGGAGTCCCATACACAGCCAGGGAGCACTGTGCAAAATCAAACATTGCAGAGTTTGGGGTCTGCCATTTCTTCCCCTCTCTCTCGTCAGAAACAAGAAAAATAGAAACATAGAAAGAAGAACCACGAGAGGTTGGTAACCATGCACAATAATGCCAGTTTTTTACTCTGCCAGGTGCGCTACTCGGCCGACTGAAGAACAGACTACTGTTGAAAATGTCACAACTCTCCATCTTGTAGTGAGTTGCAACTCCAATGGGAAACACCTTTTCATCCTCAACTTTCTATTACCCAAAGTTCCAGAAGAAAGGTACTCTTAGATAATTGAAAGTGAGAAACTAACAAGAAACAAGAAGAAAAAAGGAAATTGAACATGAAAACTGGAAAGGAACTCTCTGATGATAAGTTCTAAACTATCAACCTTTAACCCATTAGCAAATGGAGACTCCATTGGAAAACCCCTTTACAGTTTTTGGGACTGGGAGATGTCCTCAATCTACCTAGAATATAGAATGGATCAGGAATATGTGTTCGAGTTTAGTTGCTGAATCAGAAAAGATGAGAACGCAAGGTCAACAAGGAATAGTTCTGAAACCTGTAAAATGTAAGGTCTGCAGGGAAGTCAAAACAAACAAACAAATCTTTTTTTTTCAAAATCAGCCAACATATGGTATTGGTCAATGATGCAAAACAAGAACAATTTAATGGAGATTTTAAGAAAAATTAAGACATCAAAAAAACAGCAGCTGCTATCATACTGCTATTTATACAATTTTGTAGTAAAATTTGTTAAAACTAATATTCAAAAATAAATATTAAAAAATCGTTGTTTGTATTACTGGATTATGACCAATATCGTCCAATTTCTTGCCAGAAGTGGCAAAACGGGGTTTTTAATTTATAATCTAAATTAATCTAAAGAACTAAATCGTTGGTTGCAATTATTTGAATGGAGAGTTTTTTTTTACATCCTCACACATTATATTTAGATGTTGGTCATATTAGAAATATATTTTTGTTAAAATTGTAAATTAATTCTTTCTTGTTTTTAACTACTTACATTCAAAATGTTTTTTATTTCATGTTTTTTTTCGAGTTTTTGCAATTTAACAAGCTTGTGAAGATATGTTACGAGAAGGGGAAATATGGGTTTTCTTCTCCGTATAATTTTAAAAGTGTTGTAGATCTTGTAGCTTATTATCAGGTGAATTTTTTTTTATTACAACTCATTTTTTAAAATTATCTGTTTGCTAATTTTTGGGGCCTTTCATTTATATTTCTTTCTCCGTCTTCTTAATAATCAATTTGTTGGGCCTTAATTATGGTTTTCTGGGTTATTTTAATGTCTAGTTAATTCTAATTTGTATTCTAAAGATTTCTGGGCTTAAACATATTTCGTTGACCTTTCATTAATATTTCTTTGTCTTCTAAAAAATCAGTTTGTTAAACCTTAATCATGAGTTGCTCGGCTATTTTAATGACACTTAGATCGGAACTGTTGTGTTGATATTGTTAATCTAGAACTCTTGATCTCGATATCTAAAGTTGGTACTTTTTCAGAATAAATGCATGATCCTTAACTAAAATTATTATTATTATTATTATGAAGATTTATTCACACACAAAGATAAAAATACATATATAAATGGTGTAGTTTAAATTTGTTTAAATAAATTTTTTTGAAAATACAGGTTTCCAAAAGAAAAGAGAAAAAATATGCAAAATTATGCACAAATAGAAAACATTGATTTTTACTCACTACATAACATATTTATCATTTCAGTTATTACGTAATCACCGAATCCTTCAACATATAAATCATTCATTCTTGTATTTAAAAGTTCTTGTAAAACCGGAACTTTCCATTCATGTTCCAATGGGACATCAAAATATTTTTACTGTTTCTTAACTAACATTTACTAACATCAGAAGGATTTACAGAACAATCATTTGCAATAGAAAATAAATTTCTGCCAAGAACTGTGTTAAGGTCATTTTTACATAAATTAGAAAGAAGTCTAATGCAAAGCTTAGAACTTGCTTCAATAGTCTCATAGAAAGACACACATCTGCTAGCTAACACAGATTTTACATGTAAACATTGTGAAATACTTTCAATCAAGTACCTATGCGTATCTCTAGGTACATTAAAAATAATTCTAATAGCAGTATTCCATGCTGTATACAATTTTGAAACACAATTTCTCGATAAACCGATTGGTTTTTAAAAGACTTAGTAAAACAAGGGAGGGATGCTGTAAAATGAAGGAGGAAAACTAGTAAAACTTAATTTAATTTATATTTTAGAAAACTAGTTTGAAAGATTACAACAAAACATTGGATACAAGATTGATTTTTGCAGTTTCAAGGTAATTCTATTAATATTAAAAAGTCTTCAAATAATCTTAATTAAGTTCACTGGGATGCCTAATTAAATTAATGATTTTTTTTAATAGATGATGATCTATTATCATCAAACTAATTTTTTAGATATCAGCAAGATGTTGATGTTGGCGGAGGAGCGGATCATGAGAAAATTATTCTTAAGTTGAAAGAAATAAACAAAAATTATCACGAGAAATCTAAACAATACGATCAGTTCTATGAACAATATCAGACTGCTGTACAGAAGATTCTGGATAAACGGCAAGCTCTGGACGCGTTCAACGAACTGATCCGTGTATTCGAGGAGCAGCTCACCACACAGAAGGAGCACCAAGACTCAGTGTTCCCGCATGAGATGCCAAGGCAGGGGTTCAGCTTTGATTAATTGGGATTAGCCCGGAAGTAATAATATACGAGTTCATCAAATCTGTCACAAGTAAAATCCAAGTCCATAAAATCTGTCACGTATTTTATCGAAGTCCATAAAATAATCACAGAATTTAAGTCTAAAAGATAGTGAAGTTCAATGCCCGCCACAAAATCTGTAGCTAAACCCCTGTGCCCAGGTTTTTGGACAACAACAATATCGTAAAGCAACGAATATCTTATTATCGGGAACAGAGGGAACAAACGTCACAGGATCTACGAGAGGTAGTCATTTAATTCCAAAGATTTATATTAGTTTTGTATTTTTGCGGACTCGGTGCTTAAGCGCTATCTTAATCTGGATCTGGATCCAGGATCTGTCCTGAAAATGAATGAATCCTGAATCCTGTTCCAAAAAGGAACGGGGTCCGAAATTTTTACGGATCCTAAGCGCTGCTTGGGGTTATTGGGAGCTGATATAAAGTATGACAAGCTCACTGAGACCTAAACATATGCTTTACACAAATCAAAATGACATTTTTCTTTTCATTTTCAGATTCTTATTTTTATTTTTATTTTTTATTTTATCTTTTTTATTATTATTTTGAATATGAAATTAGTTTTAAATCGGTGAACCTTGACTTTAATAATATTGTAGGTAAACTCTAGGAACAGGCAGCTGGACCGTGACATGAACTCCTTGAAGCCGGAGATTATCCATCTTTACAAGCAGAGAGAGCAGCATCAAACCTGGCTTCTCTCGCACGGGATGCGTTCAGAACATATTCATAAAATTCTATTCGAAAGTTCTCAGGTAGGGTTCTTTTTTAATGAATGGACAATTGACACTTTCTGAACTGCTATCCATAAACGATTCACTACAATTTGTTTGAGAACCGTTTAAACCTTGATTTTCTCCTTGGATAAAGAGGTGAAACTATCGAACAGTTGTGTTCTTTTATCCTGAACAAATAAAAAATCTAAATTCGCATTAGAACTTTCAGTAAATATGTTAAACACGTGGCAAGGCATAATTAAAATTAAATAGTTTTTAGGTTCTTTAAATCAAGTATTACATACTCTAGTTTTTATTCTGCAGTTTAGTTAGGTTTTTTACGCTTTTACGGATTTTCCCTTCTTCAACAAGTTTCTCGGCATTATTTGATAATTTGCAAGGCTGATTGTACTGCTGGGATTATTAAAGGGGACTGTTAGACAGTTTTCATGATCTAAAAATAATGGAGAACATAGGTTTTTTGCATAATTTGATAATTTTCAAGACTGATTATACTGGTGGGATTCTTATAGGTAAACTGAAGCTTTCCTTGCTCTAGAAACAGGATAGAAAATACAAATTTTTCGCACTTCAATAAGTTTTTTTTGCATAATTTGATAATTTTCAAGACTGATTATACTGGTGGGATTCTTATAGGTAAACTGAAGATTTCCTTGCTCTAGAAACAGGATAGAAAATACAAATTTTTCGCACTTCAATAAGTTTTTTGCATAATTTGATAATTAAAGGGATTGTAGGAAGACTTTAAAAGATTTTTTGCTCGAGAAAAAATGGAGAAAATTGTCAGAATTTATCATTTTTCTTCATTGTTTAAAGAGATTTAAAGTTTACCTATTGAATCTGGTATCCCTGGTGCCCTCTTTTTTTTTGGAGGGTCCTTAAAAATTTCAACGTCTGTCCCTTTAACTCTGTACATATTCTAGGATTTTGGAGGGTCCTTTGAAATTTCAATCCCTTTAACTCTGTACATATTCTAGGATTTTGGAGGGTCCTTTGAAATTTCAATGTCTGTCCCTTTAACTCTGTACATATTCTAGGATTTTGGAGGGTCCTTTGAAATTTCAATGTCTGTCCCTTTAACTGTGTACATATTCTAGGATTTTGGGACTGCTGAGATGGAGACGCAGGATTTATCCCATTATAAGCAAAGTAATTGGCTTCTGCTAAACTGTGATAGACCTAAGGTATAAGCAGTGTTTCGGATCTGACCAAATGATACGGATCCGACCGTATCATGAAACGTTGATATGGATCCGGGTAGCGCCAAAAATTAACCAAAACCATGGAATAAATAAGTCAAAATGGTTCGTAAATGTATTATTTACATGACGAAAATTTCCAAAGGATTACTCCAAAAAGTCTATATTTTTTGTTACATTTCGGAATATATAATAAATATAGTTTATAAATTATAACCTTGCATAACATATAAAAGGGAAAATCCGATACACAGAATCAAAAGTTACCTCTGATCCGGATCCGTATCAGAGTCAGGATCCGGATCCGCGGATCCGGATCCGCATCAAAATGATACGGATCCGAAACACTGGGTATAAGATTATGTCAAAAATATACGGCCTATTTTACAATCAATTTTAGAGTAAAAATCTATACTGCCTTTTAAAATATTTTATTATTAAATTATTATTATAATTTTAACATTTTTTTGTTATTCACCAAAATAATTTGTAAAAAAAAACTTTGATGAAAACGGTTCTGGATAAAGTATCCTACATTAGTAGATTTTATTTTCTGTTGTATGTAGGCTGTTAATTTGCTAAGAAATAAGGAAGATGGAACCTTTCTCATTCGTCAATCCAGTAACGGACAGTACGCTCTCTCTATTGTTCATTCTCATGGAGAGATCGGACATTGTCTCATTCTCAGGTATTAACACTCATGGAGATATCGGACACTGTCCTATCCTCAGGTATTTATTCTCTTGGAGAGATCGGACACTTTCTTATTCTCAGGTATTTACACTCATGGAGAGATCGGACACTGTCCTATCCTCAGGTATATATTCTCATGGAGAGATCGGACACTGTCCTATCCTCAGTTATTTTCTTTCATGGAGATATTAGACACTGTCCTATCCTCAGATATTTATTCTCATGGAGATATCGGACTTTGTTCTATCCTTAGCAACTTTTTATCGTTTAAAATCAAAGATTGGAGTATCTGAATGTACTGAATTGATTATATTTATATTTCTCTGTCTAAAATCTACTAATTTCATCGTTTAATCTTTGTACGAGGATAAAATGAGATTTACTTACTCCGTCCATTTGATCGTTGTTTGTTCTATTGAAATTATTGGAATTCATTTTAAGCCTGTAAGTGCCTTTTCTTAATATTAAAAAAGCGATCCTTTGCTTAATTTTTATCTGTAGCAGACAAGACAATAAAAACGTTTACATGTTAGAATAACGTTATTTTTGGTTAGTTTACGTTATTTGGATGTTATTTTCTTAGGGGTAAGGATGGATATGGATTTGCTGAACCGTACAATATCTACCCAACCCTTGATGATTTAGTGCTTCATTACGCCGTCAATAGTTTGGAGGTAACACCTTACTTATTTTCATTAATTATGACAAACAGCAGGTACTGATATATTTTTTTTTCACAACTGGTAAATCAGTTTTTTTTTTAAATTAAACTTATCAGACCGGTTAGCTTCAATGCAGAGGGGTTCATCTACAGATTTTGTAGCATGTGTAAGTTCTCATTTTGTAGTAGATTTTGTTTACTAAGATACAAATGATTTTATGCTACTAATTGAGGCAGATTTTTTATATTTAATTTGTATTAATTGGTTTTTTTTTTGTGGTTGTATTTGGTGTACAGTGTAAAGTGTACACTGTACAGTGTAAACTGGTTTCACAGATCAATCCTGTATAAAACCGGCTTCAACGATACATGTCCAATTTACAAGTTTAATAACTCTTTTTAAATTCATTACGTATTGATTCATTAGAGGCAAAGATGGAAAATTTGCAGAAGTGTGTAAAATAGAAAACTGAAAATATTTTTCTCGGATAAAGTTTGAATAAATACTGTTGCGAATCGGACTTACCACTTGGTAAAAAGATTCTCTTGAAATTACGGCTTCAGACCCTTTTAGAACGTTGTTTAGGAGCATAACGAGGAACTACGGACCACTCTTCTCTTCCCCCTGTTCTCTGTACCTAGTAACCAGCAGTACTCAGGATATATTGCTCCTAGTCAACTCAAACGATCAGATTCTACGGAACAATCTCTCCTCTGAGCAAACAAATTTCTTTTTAAATTATATCATTTTAGATATTTTATCTTCTTGTCGAAATGTTCAAATATTGATAGTTTCTAAGTAATGTTGGAATATGACAGATAAACATTATGATTAAATAATTGTCCGTTGGTTTTTCACTTTGTACACCAAATCAAAAATCTAATATTAATAATGAACCTTGTAACAAGTCACTCATATGTCAATATGCCTTTAATCCCCATACCATGGTTTAGTGCAATTCTTTTTTTTAGAGTACAGATTAAAAGGTTTTACATTACATTGATCGTACAAACTGTAGAACTACTCGCATTGTCTCTAATCCCTCCTCTAAATACATTGGTTTTGTTCTAAGTTAGAAACAGATCTTTTCCGACCTACATAGTTCCTGTCCCTCCTACCTCTTTTCCGATGTATACAGTCCCCCTCCTCCTCATCTTTTCCGTTCTGTACAGTTCCAGAATCCCTCTTACCTATTTTCCGTTTATACAGCCCCCCTCCCCCTCATCTTTTCCGTTCTGTACAGTTCNTCCAGAATCCCCCTTACCTCTTTTCCGTTTATACAGCCCCCCTCCCCCTCATCTTTTCCGTTCTGTACAGTTCCAGAATCCCTCCTCCCTCTTTTCCGTTTATACAGACCCCCTTCCCCTCATATTTTCCGTTCTGCATAGTTCCAGAATCCCCCCTGCCTCTTTTCCTTCTTGTTTCCCTGGCACTACTCAAATGTCTGGTTTTTGATTTATCAAATTGTACAAAAAATCTTCTCACATTGTTAATTTTAACAATTATCATTTAAAGAAATAAATCCTAAAACCTGATAATTAATTAGTGACCCCCCCCCCCATTCCTGCCCATCCCTGCCTTCCTCTTTACCTCTCCAAGAAACCCGATACAAACCAAACTTGTTATTAAGGTCAACTTTTTTCTTTTCTTTCTCTTCATCTAATGATTGTCCTCGTTAGTTTTTAATAATCCCAATTATCCCAGGTGGATAAAAGGTCTGAATATATGTAATTATATTTACATCAGACTGATGTCAAACGTTCTTAATGATTCTCGAAAGTGGGGGGGGGGGGGGGGCCGGGAATTAAATTGGGAAAATTTATGAAAATGATTAGATTTTGATAATATCAAAAATGGCTTTTTTTCGTTTTGTTTCTGAATTAAGGAAAATTATAATTTCATTTATATTCATGATTTAAAAATTTAACGAACGGAGATTTCTCCAAATAAATTTTTTATTAATTCTCACTGGGCTTTATTTTTCTATTTGCATCAAAAATGAAAATTTTGTCAACAATGAGGAAATTTTGCGTCATACATGCAAATTTTGTCAACAATGAGGAAATTTTGCGTCATGCATGCAAATTTTGTCAACAATGAGGAAAAGTGCTGTATGTAACAACTGCTGTAAACTCAATCTAACAATCTAGCTAAGTGAGTTTTGAATAAACTAAAAAGTGAAATCTAAGGATTCTTGTCATCAATTCTGTTTCTTGATGTAGTTCGTGCTTCCAGGGACTTTAAATGAACTTGGTTCGAGGCACAGTTCTTCATTTCACTATTCACTCCTCTAGACCTTGTTCAATCAATACAGATTAATTTAATGCCTTGATTTCCAGATATAGAGAGAATATGGCTGGCAGGATGGAAGAAGACAAGGTGGAATACTGGCTTTATCCAACAGGAACTAGATCATACACCAGAGTTGGGAGTTTCTGAGAAGTAGTTAGATTATCGTACCCAGTTCAACTACTTCTTGCTTTTCATTTATGTCGAACACAGATTTGCTTTCAAGCTTTCAAGTTTAAATCAAACCAAGTAAATTTTAAGCATAATGCATTTCTTGAGATCTGGAAGAATCAATTTAAATAGTTTTAACGATTTTAGAGCTTATTAATTTTATTGTACTGAAATCTGCAAATTTTCAATTCTAATTCCGAAATCCTGAATAATGTTCGGTCTGCGTAGAGTCTGGGTTGGATGGTTTCTCCGTCCTGGCGAAGGTTTGGAACCTTGTGGAGAAATCTGTTCAAACTTATCTTTGGCATCAAGAACTCTTCAATCTCAAGCTAGTCGAGGAAAAAGGTGGATAATAATCATTAAATCCAAATGTTCTTTTTTAAACTTACATAATTGTGCGTATGTATATGGATAAACTAAGGTGGCGAGGATTACATTGAATGATGGGTTGTTTGCTAATATTAAAAATATACTTTAAAAATCATATTTTGGATAGTTTAGTTTGAACCCGATATTTGATTAGATGGTTGGTGTCTCCAGGGGGGTGTTGTATACGGAGATAGTGTCGAGGATGAATGGATGGTAGTTGCTCTACTCAAATATATTACAAGGTAATTAATCGCAGTTTATAGTTGATAAAAAGTTGAAACACTTGAGATTGAAAATAAACGATAAAGACCACTTTTCAGTAATTATATTTCGACATATCCATATCAGTATTAAATGATAGGGAGTCACTGGTATCCGCATTGTTTTCTGGGATCTATTCTATTCTGGATATCTGCTAGAGTACTGGATTCAGCAGAGATAGTATTAATTGTCAAGTGAGCTACATGAGATATCTGCTCGAGTACTGGATTCAGCAGAGATAATATTAATTGTTAAGTGAGCTACATGAGATATCTGCTAGAGTACTGGATTCAGATGAGATAATATTAATTGTTAAGTGAGCTTCATGAGATATCAATTAGAGTACTGGATTCAGCAGAGATAATATTAATTGTTAAGTGAGCTACATGAGATATCTGCTAGAGTACTGGATTCAGATGAGATAATATTAATTGTTAAGTGAGCTTCATGAGATATCAATTAGAGTACTGGATTCAGCAGAGATAATATTAATTGTTAAGTGAGCTACATGAGATATCTGCTAGAGTACTGGATTCAGATGGAGAAATAATATTAATAGAAGCCGCAGATCAAGTTCCAAGGTAAAATTATTAAAAAGTCTGCAATGTCCAATTATGAAAAGGGTCGCGTGAAAGTTTAGTATCCATACCTTATTTTACTCAAAATTGTATTTTTTTTGCTTTTTGTCGCCCCTGTCTCCCCCCCCTTCATTTAAACAGAAATGGGGGGGGGGACTAGGTTAAACCTAGGCTTTTTTCACACACAAAATGTTCTTTATATTTCCCATTAATTTAATATCAAAGGGGTGAATGGGAGCTTAATTCTGGACTCTATAATATAATTAGTTTGACTAGTGCATTACATACTTATTTATAATTTGATCAATTCAATTTTAAGTGGTTGTAATTTTAGGGGAGCTTGGAGTTAGTAAAGATCGAAGTTAACTATTAAATTAATACCCGTTCAACTCACAATATAAAAATGCTGTGGCCTAGAATTCGTCGTTTACTTACTGTTTACTTGTATGGTAATCTGCAGAGGGCCTTTTAAAGGACAAATATTAACTTTAGATTCGGTTTTACTCTTTATGGTCGTTTATTCCCGTTTTTGTAATGTTCTGCTCAAATTTTCGTTGAACTGATCTAACGAATTTTTGTGCAGGCCTTTTCAGTTTTTTTATATTGGTCAAAATTTGCTTTAGTTCGGTCAGCTTTGGTACAGATTATAGTGACGTTGCTTCTGTCATTCAATTCGCTTGTCTTGTCTTGTCATCCATTGATCTATCTATCTATCTATTATGCTTCCCCAATAACACAAGTTTTACCAGGCTGTTGTTTTTCCGTCGAAAAAAAATCAGCCACATTTTTTTCCCTCGTGTAGATGAAAAATCCACGAGACGTATTCTAAAGATCAGAGTGTCAACCTTCAAAAAGGAAGCGAAGATATTTTTATCATGATTTTATGGTAAAAGGGGTTAAGGAATTACGGTAACCATTGTGAGTATTTATTCTATTATTTTACTCCAGGTGGGCCGGAGAACCTGCTCTGGCGGAAGGACGGGTTTTTCTTTACTCCGGAGAGGTATTCTTCTTTTAGATAAATTAGAACATCCGTTCTGTAACAACAATAATAATAAAAGATAAGAAAAACGTATTTCTTAAACTAACTTTTCAGCTCAATAAAATTATTATAATATTTTTTCTAAATTATGAATTGTCTAGGTTCACTTAATCCCAGTATGTCAGACACCCGGAGATGTTACTCCGTTCCCCCACGGTTCTCCGAACCCGTTCTCTGCTTCAAGATTCATCGCAACATATCCTCATCTTACCAGAGCAGACACTTCAGTTCAAAAGGTGTAAATGATTGTAACCTAGCATTAGTTAAGTAAACATACTAACTAATGGTTATAAGCTGAGACTGGTAATTTGGTAGAATGTCGGGTGTCCGTTGTGATAGGTTTTAAAATTAACAAAAGATAAAAATAACAATTTATTTTAAATGATAGCATAAAGAACATCAAAATCAAATCTCATTAAACAAAAAACATGGAAATTAAATGACATTTAAGTCAAATCCAATCTTGTTAAGAATAAAGTTTTCATGATATATTGACATAATTATGTGTGCCATCTGAGCTTTCCAACATGAGGTCTGTAGACTGTTTTTTTGTCTCTTATAAGGTACAAAACAGATAGACCGCATTTTGAAATTACTGGGATAAAGAACCGGCTAACACCATTATTTACTGAGATATTGAAAAATGTCATTGATGCAATGCCTCCTTTCAATGTTTATTGGAACACCCTCACAATTGTTCTAGAAGCTGGTTGACATGTTCGATATCAATCGAAATGTTTTGTTATTTTAGTAACAAACCTGTCATCTAGCTAAAACTAAAAATCTAACAAATATTCAGCAGTTTTGACCGCCCCCCCCCAAAAAAAAAAAAAAAAAATTGAATTTATTAATTTATTAATTTTTGAGTTAATGTTTGGCTTGATTTGATCAAATAGAAGAAATTGTAGAACAAAAATTTCATGTTGTCAAAAAAATTATAAAAATGTTAAATCTTTTTTTTCTAGGTAATAACCAGCAGGATTGGTAGATATCCTAAGGAATGGTCTGACAATAAACACATTACCACAGTTTTACTTCCAGGGATCCTTGCTGCTCTTCTGCATACACACAAACAAACGGTAGGAAGAAGGGATATTAGAAACACATCTTTGTTTATCTTACCGTACAAATATGTTTCTGAGGTCCAGAATTATCAAAAAATAAACTCGTAGTTATGCTTTATAAAGCTTAATGAAACATTTATGTACTTTCTCTCTCCGTCAGTCTAATCTACGGAAAGTATAGAAGTAATGAGCGAAAATATTATTTTAGGTGTCTGATATAGTTCACGCTCTGAAAGATCGAGATCACATTGATGCAAGAAAGACCCGAAGTATGCCACGAATCCGTCCTGAAAACCAAAAGCAGTATTCGCTAACCTTCCCTCGCTGTCTCTACGCTCTACTCTCAAGCATTAAAGTTAAACCACACAGGTCGATTCATCTATATTATATTTATCAATTTATATCAAGAAGTAATCTCTGTTCGACTGTGTTTGTTTGTATGCCCGATCATAACTTGTATACACTTTACATCTTGACCGATTTGCCTAAATTTTGATTGGGGAACTCGGTTGAATCACAGGAATGTTTTTAACTTTATTTTAACATTCATAGTTATGTTGATGACATGTTTTAGCTTCCATGCACAGCCGGGTTCCCACGCTAGTTTTCAGATTAAATATTGTAAAATAAGAGAGTTTTTCTTCTTCTCAGACAATAGACATGTTGTCTCGTTGTTTATAAAAATATTGTTTGCAGAAGTTCCGGTTGGAAGATTGAAGAGCGGAGTAAACCGGAAGTACTCGGATATCAGTTGAGTTTAGGACTGGAGATACTTTTATCCAGACATAGGCGCGGGGAAGAGGAATCAGGTTGTATAGATTCTCTGTTTTATTCTTGTAAATAATAAACAACAAAAAATCAGGGGATTCGCATAATTTGAAGCACACAAGTAATTTTTTCTCTCTTTAAAGCATTTTCCCCCCAGTTGTGTCTTTGTATTTTATATCACTGAATTATGGAAAATATGTAAATGAGCTTGAGGGTTAAAAAAGAAAAGTATCAGAAAAGGCGGAAATGCTAACCAGTTAACGTCCAATTTTTCATGTTTTATCAAATCTTAGAAACCCAACACAACCCCCACCCCGTTCGACAATGTGTGTTAATTCTTCAAAATATATGTGAACAATAAACATCTGTAATTAAAATAAAAGTTTAGAATATTTGTATTCAGTTGGAGAACAGAGCTGGGAGAGGTTCAGGGAGAAGCTTGAAGATGTCGGATACTTTCAAGGAACAGAAAATATTTATACAGCAAAAAAAATGTTGAAATTGAAATCTTAAAATGTGATTTCATATAATTTAGAAAATTGTAAAATAATTTCTTGGTTTAGGAGAGATGCAAGGTTCGGTGAAGTACAAACATTTAGCGGAGCAAGCTCAGGAATTTATGAAATGTTCCAAGGAGGGTTCCCATCATTCCCGGGTAGATAATATTGTCAAGACTGTTGAGAGGTTTGAGAACGGGGATCTGAAAGAACCCAGCTCAGGTTGGTTGCGCCCCGGGGGACAAGACGGGGATGAATCATGGATGGAAGTTACTCCGGAGTCTTTGGATCGAATGCTGGCAGCTAGGTTCGGAGTTGCCCAGGGTGGAGAGGAGAATATTCCGTCTGAACTGAACAGTTTTCTGAGTAAGATATCAGATATGGCTGGAGTAGGAGACCAGGATTCAGTAGACCTGGATCCAAACAATCTGATCAGTTCTATGAAGAAACTACTCGGTGAACCTGACGATCATACCTTCAGTGATGAGGATTCTGATGAAAGTGATGATGATGAAGAAGATCCTGTGATCATTGATTACATGAACAGGTTGGATGCTGAGGTATCCGGGCTCAAGGGTCGGGAGGACCTACCGGACCAGGATAAACCTCTAGAGGTTGATACTAACGTGCTCTCAAATCTTCTAGCGTCCTACTCCGCAGAGCTGGGATTCTCCGGTCCTGCATCCTCGCTCTTTAACACCCTTGGGATCAATCCTGGAGTTAAGGGGGAGAAGAGTTGATTAGATCTGTGATTATTTTTACAAATTTACATCAAAGATGTTTTTATTTTCAGACAAGATGTCGGCAACTGCGCAGCAGAGAATGAGAATAGCGAATGAGAAAGCTATGAAGAATGTGACTCACAGAGGAAATGTACAGAAAAGTAGTAAAACTGAACAGGAGAAATATCCAGTAAGATATTCACATTTTTTCATTATAAAAATATATTAGAAATAATTCGTTCAAACACGTCACACCCACTCTCAACTTTGTCAAATGTTTATTTAATGTTAGCTCATATTTTGATGGATTTATATGGTCTACGGAATGTTTGTTGACCATATATCAGGGGTGTATATTTTTCAAATTACACATTTTTGATGAATGGGGGGGGGAATGAAAATGGGACATCAAAAGGCCAGTTTTTTCAATTGTTTTTGTTACTTTTTGCCCAAAAAATCATTTATTTTCCCCAACTCAGCGGGGGAAAAAACCTTTGAAAAAATTTCCGCTCCGCGCAAACATCTTAAGCTTCTGGTGGGAAAATGATTTTTTAGGACCATATTCACCCCTCCTATTTATAATTATAATAATTACTCTAAAAGTTTCTCACTTTTATCAATAGGTCAGAACTATTTGTATCTGATCAGAGCTAAAAACGTGCTAGTTTAAAGTTTCACGGGCAGTGCCTTAAATCTTGAAAATATTGAATTTCTCTAGATAAGTAGTTTGCACTAAATTTTTTTTATCATGGGGTTTAAGTTTTTAAGCTTGATTTTTAGTGACCCTTCATGTAAGGATAGCAATGCCCCATTTACAACGATACCCTTAAAAGCTTTTTCTGATCAAGTATGAATTAGATTTTACTGTTTATAATTTTGAAAACTGATTATTTTCTCTAATGGTTCTCTACATGCAGGAAAACATATAGGAATTATCACAAGTCAACACTTCTTAAACCCTGTTTAAACAATTAGATCTTCAACGTCATTCATCAGATAAAGATGTCAAACATACTGTTCTGAATCGGGAATTTGCCATCTTTGCATAGAGGGTCACTTAAATTTACCCATATTATTTTGTAGGTTGGTCCCTGGCTCCTGGCTCTATTCATCTTTGTAGTTTGTGGATCAGCAATATTTCAAATTATTCAAAGTATCCGAATGGCGTAGAAATGCTAAATCATGTTCATGTTTCACTCTGTCACTGTTTTCCACAGTTTAGTCTTGTAAAATAATGTTATGACTCTGATAGAAGGATTGACCGGGCATTATGAGAAAAGAACCGAAAATGTGATAAAACGCCAACCTTGTAAATGTGAATCTCGGCTCGTGCTTGAAAATGATTCCAATACTCTCTCTCTCGTTAAATGCTCAAATAATTCTCCCAACAGTAATCTTTTGTCACTCAAAATATTTTTCGGATTTCCAACTTTGTTATGCTGCACTGTAACTTAATCTTTTAATGATGTTTTATGTATTTTAAATTTACACCCTTGTTTTCTGTTGAATATTGTTTGTAATGTATGTTTATGAATCCCTGTGTGTTTTGTATTACTAGCACCTTTCCAGTATTTGCATTCCTCAGCAACCTTTCTCTCCCTCTACCAGCGATCCTTTTTCTCCCCTTCGTCTCTCCCAGCAGTCTTTCTCTCCATTCTACTCTCCCAGCGATTCTTTCTCTTCCCCTCTCCCAGCGATCCTTTCTCTCCCCCTTCCCTCTCCATGTAGTCTTTTATCACCCAATCGACTCTACCGACACTCCTTACTCTCCCCCTCGAATCTACCGACAATTCTTACTCTCCCCCTCCACTCTCCCAAAAGTCTTAATTTACCCCCCCCTTCGTCTTTTATCTAGGAATAAAAGAAAATCGAAAATTTCTGTCCAAATTCGTATTCTAGTCCCGATTGAGTCATGTTCAAACGTATTGTTTTTCATATTTATTATTATTTAATTATTTTTTTTAACATAACTTGTATTATTTTTAAACCTACCCTTCTCTGCACCAGTCGATACACTTTTTTAAACTAATACTTATTTATGAAATCAAACCAAAGAACTCGTCTCACGTTTCAGAGATAAATCTTCTTGAAGTCAATCATGAGTCAAGGAGGAGGTGATGGTGGTGGAGGACGAGGTCGAGGCCGAGGGTTCGGTCACAAAGGAGCGGATAGTTGGGCTATGCCACGACGTGGGGGACGAGGAGGATTTAAGGCTGCTCTGTCTAATCCTCATGGTGCAGATCTGACCAAGTATATGAAGAGAGGAGCTCCCAAACCAGATTTCAAGCGGTCTAGAGCACCTGAACCTACAGTGGATCAAATACAGGTATACATTTCTTTATCTTACTCAAGAAAAGAGAAACCTTATAGATATTTTAATTTATTTATTAATATTTTAGCTATTTTGACTTAGCAGAATTTACAGTTTAAAATATTAAAGGTCAAAACATGAGATTTAAAAGATATTCATTTCTAGGGTTTCTTTTCGTTTAATAAAAGGGTTTGAACCAACTAATTTATGCAAATCGTATGATGATGTGTAAACAAAATATAATGAACCTAAGCAAATAGGTTGGGCTCTACTCTAGGAAAACACCAAATTATGTAATACACAATGAACTCGATTTCAGTCGGCTAAAACTTCAATTAAAATAAAAATTCAATTTAATTAGGCTTATGTTGAAAAAAAAATTTACAGTTTCAATGTTTTTTTTTATTATTAATTACCTCGTTTTCTTTTATTTTATACATGCATCAATGCTGTAAATGTAGCTCTGGACTGCGAATAAGATTTGAATACTGGGTTCAATTTCATGTATTGTTCAATCCAGCTTGGGCTTCGTTTTTTAGAAACAACCATAATATATTTGTACACACCGAAACTGAGTTTATTGTGTATTACAGAATTTGGTGTATTCTACAGGGGTAGGCGACTTTATCAATAACATGAAGACAACTTTCAATTTTGATTAAAATCAAGCTGTTAAAAATTGAAGTTAACAGAAGCTGTTACTTAAAAAAGCTATTTGATTACTTGTAAACTTGTAGTTAAAAAAACTTATCAACGATCATAACTTAAATAAAAATTTGTCTTCATTGTATTGATATAATCGCCTACCACTGAACTAGAAATTCCTTATTAGACTTACTTTACCTTGATTCTATCCCTGTATTTTTAGGCGGATAATCTGACAGCGCTGGCAAAAACGTACTGGGCTCCGCATACCTCCAAGAACCATGTTGATTATAACCCCGATGTGGTAGAAGAGATTTATAAAAACGACATCAAGGGCCCCGGGTTCGCAATCAAGAGGATTATGATGCTCGAGTTCTCACAGTTCCTGGAAAACTATCTCTGGCCGAACTTCAAGGCTGAAACCTCGACCCTGGCGCACATCATGTCGATCATCGTTATTGTGAACGAGAAGTTCCGTGAGAGAGTTCCTGCCTGGACAGCGTTCCAATACAGACCGGACGAGTTCTCCGGGTTCTTCCATGCAGTGCTGAAGTGGACGGTTGCTCCTCCCGATCAAATCTCAATTCTGGAGCAAACTAAACTCCTCATATTCCTGGACCACTGTTTCACGAGTATGGAGGTGGATCTGGTGAGAGTTCAAGTACAAAGGTTGGTTTCTCTACCAATGTGGATTTGTCTCCTGGATTCAAGACGAGAAGCAGAACTCAAGGTAACAATTAGAATAAGTAATAAGTACTGGTGGGGAAGTGAGAAATAACATGTAGTTTTTCCATTCCATCTTGAAAGAATCTGGTTTTTCATATTTTGACAAATAATATTATAGAAAAAATTCTAAAAGTTTGATTAAAACTGATTTCTCTATCTGCCATGTTGTTAGAATTAAGTAATACTGTCGAAAATTCTTCATGTTCATGTTAGTGTGAAATAAATAGGTGTTTAAATGATTTAAAATACAATTTGAAGCTGCATTTAAGTTTAACAATAAAATCATAGTTCAAAAAAATCCTTTTTATATGTTGCAAGTTTGTTTAACCCTGATACCGTCGTTTTGCTTACCAAGGCATATCAAGTAACTTAAGTAGACAACCTGCAAATAAAAATAAACAGTTTAAAGAAACAAAAATATGGATATCTAATTCATTCTTAATCCGACAACGCTTTTAAGGGTACTACTGTAAATCGGGTATTGCCATCACTTGAAATTATGAAAATTAAATTCAATCCCTTTCTAGGCAATCCCTAAATGGAAGAAGTACTGGAAGTTACTGCAGAAGAAGGACAGTAAGGAGGATGACGAAACTAAGGATAAACTACAGTTTGAGAGAAGGTTTCTCAGGAACTTGATAAACAAGTACTACACCATCCTGTACGCTATACAGGTCAGAGAAAAGTCTTTTTTATACTGGGGGTTCCATAATAAAAATAAAAACACTGTTCTTGTCATTTCAAGTAAAAGAGAGAGGCATGAACGATTTACAGCAATATTCTTAAAGACTTCTTCTGATCAACAATTTGGTTAGTTTTAATTTTGCTAGATTCTTACACTTTTTTGACCCTGAAAAAAATATAGACCAATAACGAACCAACTTAATGCACATCACTACTAACATGCATACGTACAGCTGTATTAACATCTTCTATATATATATGATTATGTAATCTCTGTTTGTCCAATCATTACTCACGAACCCCTTGGCTTAACTGTTTCAAATATATTTTTGTGGCACTTGAGCTTGGTTTAAAGATTTTAAATTAAGTTGGTTGTCTTTTAAAGTGAAAGTTCAGATTTTCAGGCAAATCCGGGTTCCCAAGCAAATACACAGATAAATCTAAATTATTTTTGTATAGGAAATTATTAAATATGTTAAAAGATTCTTGATCCTAATAATATCATTGTTGTCTAGGAGAAGGAGTGTTCTAAAGATAATGTTGAATATGTTGAAAGATTCTTGATTCTAATCTATATTATTGTTGTCTAGGAGAAGGAGTGTCCTGAGGAGAATGTTGAATATGTTGAAAGATTCTTAATTCTAATCATTGATCTTGAAGCTCTACTGCCCACCAGGAGGTGAGGACGTCTTATATTTATTTAAAGGGACAGGAGGCGCTATTATAAGTGAACCTATATTTTTAGAGTGCCATGTTCGGTACCCATCCTCCTATTTTCAAAGTCAAAAGGACATATCCATTAAAGTTGTATGAAATATATTCAAAATAGAAGTTTTTAGATATTTTATACAAAATAAAACTTCTGATAAGAGTTGATTAATTACATCTTTTTTATATATAAATTGGATGTAAAATTTTGATAAAGGATATTGGTCTTGAAAGTTCTATTGACAATGAAAAAGCAAAACAAAAAAACTAAATATTTAAAACCTAAAGGGTTTAAATTTTAGTTCGTCAATCTTGATGTATTTTTCATTAATTCTACAGGGAAGTAAATTATTATTTTCCTTTTAAAAAAGCCTTTATTTCACATTAAAAAGTTAGGTAAAGGTACTATGTATTTCTGACTAGTTCCTCCATTGTTTTTATGGCAGAAATCCGCAAGTCTAATACAAAACATCTCTAAAAATGGAGAGTCTCTTAATTACATCTACAGTCCCTTAGATTTTTATAGAACAAGCAGACAGAAAGCCAAATTTAATTGTACTTATTTTTAAACTTTTTTGCTTTTTTATTTTATTTCTTACTTAGTTATTTCATGGCAACATATTTCCCCCTAATTACTGTTTAAAGAAATGTTTCCAATTTTTGTTTTGTAAGTTCAGTTTTTTCTTGTTGATGTTTCTTAACGAGATGTCTAGGATCTGGGGGGCCCCGCATTTCTAATTTTATATATAAACTTTCCTAATTATGTTGAGAGAAGTGAGGTAAACTTTTCTCCTGCCACACATCACGCCTTTCATCCTGCCTTTGGTCGACACGATCTTCAGTTATAGGGTGTCCCGATAAATATGCCAATTTATTTCGAGATCGTCTTCGTAAATGACTTTTAAGCAAAGTAAGCAAATGCCTTCAAATTTTAGCTTAGTATGGAATTTTTAGCATCCAACATAAACAAAAAGTGAGAACCAGAAAACTCTAGAACAGAAAGACGACCAATAAACTCAAGTTATGTCTTAAAATAATAGTTTCCTATGTTGTTTGGGGACACCCGGTAATTTAGAATAGAAATTAAAATCTTTATATAAGCTATGCGTATTTTATTACACAATGGGTTATTTTAAGCTAGTTAGATATGGATGAGGTTGAGAAAATTATTATAAAACGAATATGGATTATAATTGGGATTTAAATTTAACCCCTGGAATGTTCAAAAAGTAAAAGCTCCGCTGGACAAATTACTGATACGCTCTGGCAAGGTGTCCATATGATTCCATTTCTGATCCCAAATGGGATCAGGGTTGGAAGTACATTTAGGGGCATTACAATACACTTTCTGTGTCATTGTGAACAGCTTTGGTAAGTTTTTTGTGTACGTGTACTACACTTTTGAAATGTGTACTGCATTTGGGGTGTTAAAAGATGTGAATATCAGTAATCAGTAAAAGAGTTAAATTATAAGTTACAGTATATGGTAAACATTCTGCAGTTAAGAATTTTTTCTACAACTTAACATCATACTTTCAGCTGTTAGTAATAACAACGGTTAATTTCTGCCCCGAATATCAATCAATCAATCAACAGTTGGGATCGTATAAGATGAAATTATATTTACCCCTGCCTATTGAAGAGGCGCATTTGAGGGCGCACATAAAGGGGTATATAATTATTATTACCCAGACATACATAAAAAAATAAAGGGCCTGTAAGCTTAGTTTCTAGTGACCATCCATGCAAAGATGATAAAGCCTGATTTACAACGGTATGCTTACAGCTATGTCTGATCAAGTATAAACTATAGATATCTATGTTTAAAATTTACAAAATCTGATTATTTTCTACTGTGGGTTCTCAACATAAGCATTTCTACTGCAGGAAAACATAGAAATTATCAGAATTAAACATTTATAAACCTAGAAAACCAACAATATATTCCACATAATTCATCAGGTAAAGGTTTCTAGGGTATCATTGTGAATCTGGCATTGCCATCTTTGCTTTGGAGGGTCACTTCAATTTCAGATAACAGTCCCAATAAGACGTTTAAAGTTTCAACAAATCTACTATCTATCAATGAACCTTAATGATTACAAGCCAAACCTAAACATGACATTGTATCATTTAGTTAGAAACAAGATGATGACGGGTAGAAAGTTTAGGCCCTCCCCCCTGACTGTTATGATAAAAAAGTTGTGTCTGCATGCTCAATCTGTTCCCCACATACAAACTTTTTTTTTCTATTCTCCTCGTCTCGTGAAAGTATATTGAGTGTATTGCAGTTTTCAGAAAAGTTTCCCCGAGTTGAAATATGAAATCTATATGAAGCCTCCCTGGAGATTCAGCCACACATCTAGTTTGGGAGTACATAAATACATAATATAGAGGGTAGGGGTTAGTCCTCCTCCCCCCCACTCCCAGTTCTCCGAATTATTAGATACTAGTTTTTTCAGCGAAGAAATATCGTGCCTTCTTTCTAGATTTTTCTTATCAACGCCAATCATAAATGGGTTGGAGTTTTACATTTTATTTAAATCTCAATTGTATTAACTTGTATTGGATTGTTGGGTATTACCAATCCGAACAACTTCGAGAGAGAGAAAATTTCTCTGAAATCAACATTGTCATGACTAAAGTTGTATGGTGAATGAGGGAGAGTAAAAGAAGTTGCTAGTTAAAATAAGTACCTAGTTAAAATATTTGTTTTTTTTTTCAACTAAAGATGCGTCGAAACTGCTGAAAACTGTTTTTTCATGAAACTAAAAATTGTTTGATTCAGGACAAAAATAACGGGTTTCTTTTGTACCCATGTTCTGCGTAACAATTTTAATTTGAAAAAAGTCTTTTCTTAATGTTTTTCCGTTCCGAGTGAGAATATAAGAGTTTTAAAAGTCCCCCCACCCCTCCCTTACCTATTAATCACTGTAAAATTGGATCAAACTGACCAGTGAGAAAGAAAAAAAAACATTTTGTTTTAAGTTTAACCCTCCCTTTTTACAACGATGTAATGGAAGAAATATTCATGAGATGCCAGATGCGAAATATTTCAATATTAAAAATCTACTTTTCTCAAACAACAATGATTCATATTTGTAAACAATACATGTACTCTTTAAAGAGACTGTTCATAAAGTTCACAAATTACACTTATTTTAAAGAGTAAATTTTGTTCACTTCTTGAAGCCACAGGTTTGAAAAGATATTTTCTACAAGGTCATGTAGGGCATTAGTTTTATTAAAATAGCGCAATGTTTAGATTTTAAAATCGTTTAAAAAGTATGAACGTATTTGAAATATGTCATGAAATCATTAGCGAAATTAATTGTTCTATTAGGTTTATCATATTTGACATGATATTTAACAAACAATTGAATTGTTGGCATGAGCTGTGCAAAAACCATAATTAAATTTCAATTAGATAAATATGTTTACAGGGTTACCCACAAAGGATAAAACCATGCAAAAAAAAAAAACAATTTATTTTCGAATCCAAATTTTTTTTAAACAAAATTGAAAAAGAGCAGTGATTTTTTTTTCTCTGATCGTTTTATCTTCTTTTTATCTGATATGAATCTGTTTTCTGTTCTTCTCTATTAGATCTGTGCATTCTTCTCTCTTGTAGACAAGGGAAAAATGCATTTTGACATATTTCTGATTCATACTATTCTTTAATTGGATATCTTGGCGCCAGAAATATCAAATTAAATATAATGGAAAATTACTGTTTGAGATGTTAGATGTATTTGGTGTTTTCGGTAATGTTTGAATCAACAACTGTTATAGGTAGCTTCAAACACAGTTTCCTTAATATTCTTACAGGTTGGAAAAATAAAAGTCACTAAGGGGGGTTTGAAAACTCTGAGGATTGCCATTATCAGAATTCCAAATAGGACAAGAAAGGTTAGGCTAGGAGTGGATACTTTTGACAAAAGAATTCTTGATCCTTGTAAGTTCATCTCGGACACAGTGCTTCAGAATTCAGCCTCGTCTGCCGCAATCTTTTCCTTGCAGCCGGTAGAGTATAAACCGGTATCATAGTGTATGGTGCACAACCTATCAGGAGTAAACAGTGCAAATATGAATTTAACTACTTGGCAAAGAAAGAAACCAGTTTTTAGTTGCAGGTATTTATAAATATAAGGAAAGAAACGCTAAGAATTCTGTGTGGTCGTCTCCTGAAGTATCATCCTTTGTGGGCATCCGTGTACATTGTGCAATTAAGGGTAAAAACTACTAATTTAAAAAAATGATTTTTTCAACCACTATGGAGAATGAATATGTAGTCTCACTATAAAATACAAACAACTTTTAGAATAGTAAACGCATAGACCCCAATGACAGTTTCACTTATGAATCAAATACAATACAGTCCGGCAGTATTCAAATATTCCGCGGCAGGGGTCAAATACAGTAATACTTAAATACAGTACAGCTAGAGTCACATATTCCACGGCAGGGGTAAATTAAAGCACGGCACGGGTCGAATTCAGTAGTGCTCAGCTAGAGTACGGCAAGGGTCCCATTCTCCCCCTCCTTGTATTTAATCTACTGGAGGGTATTAAATGTAATCTAAATTTAGTTTCCTTGAATTAATTAGGATGTGTTATCTTGTTATAAGACATTAGAAATTATGTCTATGTGTCCCGGGGGAGACTGGTTCAAAACTTAAATTTATTTTCTCCCAGGGGTGTACGCTTTAGCTAATGGGGGTGGGGGAGGGGGTCTGACTTTTTTGTTAGCCTTGCTTTTATTTTTCATAGAAAATAACTAATCACTCTTAATATCGTTATTCCCATTTATTTGCAACCTGGGGCCCGGGGCCAGATACAATGAATAGTTGAACTACGTAGACTTAGTTGAACCTATTCTCCTTAATCTGTACCTATTTCAACTATTTTTCGTTTACTATTAAATTTGACCAGGTTGAAGCGGTTCAACTTCTTTTTGCTCTTTAGTAAATCTGGTGTTATTTGATGTCGTAAACCTTTTATATTTCAAACTAAGAAATTTTAATCGAAGGCTTATCATAAAATTGCAAAAATAAATGAATATGAAAATCAGAGTATGTTACGAGTGCTTAGTTCCTTTGACGAATTAATTGATGAACAAAATTGAAACAAAAGTAGCCACGTGAATTATTAATTTTAAGAGATTATATTTTTAGTTGAAAATATCTCCCTAGTTTTCTATTGTTTGGTCCCTGGATTCAGAGCTCTCTTGTTTCAAATATACTAACATTAGGTATATGAGTAGAGATGGGAATCTTTTATGTTAGTCTCTAATTTAACTTTTTTTTGCATTTTGCGAAATTTTTATTTTGATGAAAATTATAATAATTAAAAAATCATTTTGGTTCATAATATCTTTGAACATACAATTCTTGAATATGGAAAAAAAATCTCAGATTCTCATGAAGCGTTTAAGTCTAAAAACCTTGAATGGCTAAAAATTACCCTAATATTGCTGCCCATCCCTATATATGATGAGCCCAGGGGACTGCGGGGTTAACTGCACCAGATATTAGATACCTGGGAAAATTTGCAAGCTAGAGTCTAGAGTTATATTAGATGTTATTCTAACCCTGGTCTTACGCTATAGATGTAAATAGCCCCAAAACCAAAATCGGGGTAGTTAGTTATTTTTCACGGTTTCTTTGTGCCTTCAACAAATTAAAAAAGAAAGAAAATACAAAGATTTAATTCTGAAAACTCCTCAAAATCGTGTTTCTGTGCACACAGTCTTAAGTGACAATATTTTGAGTAGGATAAAGAGCGGGTGATTATACACTATTTAGGGACTAGGGAGTGTCACTTTTAGTTTTGTTTAGTTAACATGGTTTATATTAGATAGACTGAGAACTTTATTTTTAATGGTTCATCAAGGCTTAAAGCTTAAAGATAAGCGAAAGAAAGAAGAAAACTAATTTGAAAACTCTTCGTTTGTTCAAAATATCATTCAATCTTAAAGAAATGTTCATGACCTTGATACGGATCCAGGATCCGGATCCGGATATGCATCTGCATCAAAATGAAATGCTGCCTAGAAAAAATTAAATAATTGACCGAAAAAATCTTCCGAGAAATACTGCAGCCTCGTTGATGAAAAAAGCAGTGCTTAGGATCCATTTCATTTTGATGCTGATCCGGATCCTGGATCCGCGCTGGAAAAATGGATCCGGATCCAGGTTATTTCTATAAAATTCACTAACTTTTTTTAACAAAGCATAATTTTCAAAAAAAAATTTTTTTTTTTTTTGGCTTATTTTTATGCTAAAACTTGAACCATGAGAAATCAGGAAATTTGTATGATCGCTCTTTTTCAATAGTTCAAATTTTAGGTTTTGAAAGAAAATTTTTTTTGCGGTTTTTTGTTGATATTTTGCCCCTTGGATCCGGATCCATGGATCCGCATATTTTTTCGGATCCGGAACCAGGAAGAAAAAATCTTACGGATCCTGATCCTAAGCACTGGAAAAAAGTTTAATACTCTCTTCGTCCTAAATGAAATATTAATGAGCTGAGGTTTACAAAACAAAACTAAAAAAGATTTTGTTTAGCTAAATGGAAAATTGTCACATGAAAATCAACTTTGACTTAAGTTTAGTAAATAATTTTTTGGGAATTCTAAGAAAGAAATCTGCTTTTTAAGCAAGTCTTAAAAGAGAATTGCGCAAACCAACCATATTTTAATAATATGTATTCCAGGTTTTTCAACACTGTGTTGGATGACAGTCATCTTGTAGTTCGATCATCTCTAGCTCCTCTGACACGTAGACCTGAGGGACGGTTATTCGCTCAGCTTCTTGAACAGGTAGGGAGTCACTTTAAGGAGTAGGGGGGAGTCATTTTTAAGTTAGGTTGGAAGGGAGTGTTTGTAGGAGGAAGTGAGGAGTTCTTTATTGAATCATTTATAGGATAGATAGAGTCATTGTATTGGAGGAAGAAAAGATACATTTAAAGAAGGAGATGAAGAGTTCTTAATAGAATTAGGAAACATTTATGGGATAGGTAGGGAGTCATTTAGAGGATAGGTAGGGAGTCATTTAGAGGATAGGTAGGGAGTCATTTAGAGGATAGGTAGGGAGTCATTTAGAGGATAAGTAGAGAATAAGTAGGGAATCATTTACAGGATAGGTAGGGAATCATTTAGAGGATAGATAGAGAATCATTTAGAGGATAAGTAGGGAATCATTTACAGGATAAATAGGAAGTCATTTACAGGATAGATAGGAAGTCATCTACAGGTCCAAAAAGCGTTCTCTATTCCAGACCTTTTTTCCCCTTCCATTTATCTTTTTCTTTCCACAAAAATTCAAGATTTATAACAAAATTATAAAAATTCAAGTTTTCCCCCCCACCCCCCTTCAAATCTTTTTTACTGGAAAATATATTTTTTTTCTAAAAATCTTTTATTTTTTANGGGGGAATATTTTAGTAAACCTGTATTTATCCCTTGTGAACATGTTTTAAATATTACTATTACCATCACATGGTTCCACTCCCAACAATTCTTTGATTAAAAGTTTAAAGACTTCGTCTCCTTGGAGAACTAGGTTTAATGTTTGACATTTCACATCAATTCAAAGTTTAGATTGCTTCCAATATTTTAAATAAATGTCGGCTATTTGACTGAGAACATGTTGTGCAAACTCTCTCAAATATTGATATTTTGACAAGGTGGTGTTTCAGTGATTATCTTCTGACAGAGTTAAATACATAGTTTTGTTTTGTTTTTACTAATATCCCATTCACAGACATCCAGACAACTAGAAAATTTGTACATCTAATTTTAAGACCGGGTCGACTTTGAAGTGTCGAACGCACCTTTGTTTTTACCGCACCAATCCACTTGACATGACGTAGTTTTCTCGATATATAAATTTTTTTTATCGTGTCGTCCTTGTTTCTAGCTTCAGTTTAGATAGAGTAATTGGCAAAATCCTGATCGATTTTCGCGAAAGAGCGTGCATAATTTGATCTACAGTGCTTTTTCCATGATTTGAGAGATCTGTGATCAAAAAATGACTGATTGCTTCATTCCAAATTTTTTATGAATTTTTATTTTTTTTATTTTGTTCGTTTTATTGATTATATCTGGAAACCTTTTCAAACCAAAGGAATTGAGTTGTTGCCACAAACTCTGGTTTTCTCTTTATCTTTGCTTCTTAAAGTCGTAAACCTTTTATATTTCTTTTGTTAGATCAAAAGTCTAAGTCTTATATAAAGAAATATGGATTAGAAAGTTTGAGTTTGTGTCAAAAGTCAATTCCTATTATAGTTGAAATTTGATATTCCAACATCTTCTCTACCCCGGGGAGAGGGGGGGGGCCCTCTCCCTTCATAGAAAGTATATCCTAGCAGATTTCAATGCTTAATGAGTGGAGTTTAAGTAATGATTGTTGGATAAGATCACACCGCAATGCAGACAAGATCCAGCTAAACAAGTTCGTTAACTTTAAACAAGAGGAGAAAAGAGAATGGAAGCTTTTTAAACATTCACGCTTCAACATATCACAGTTCTGAAGATGCATCTTTGATCTTAAATCACAGTTCTGAAGATTCACTTAGTGATCTTAAATCACAATTCTATTGGCACTTTTAGAGTTAAAATCATGGTTCTAGATGTATGCTACTCGTGTCTAAATATTCTAGATTCACTTCTAGGCTTTTCATTAAATCTAGATGCACTTCTAGCGCTTAAATCTCAATTCTATATGCTTCTCTTGAGCTTAAATTACACAATTTGAGAGGAAAATGCACGACTAAGGCGTCGTCAACTATTTTTTAGATTTTCCTTCTTAATTTGTAATATTTCCGTAGATACTCGGAATTAAAATTTTCTCTTTCAATTTCGATTTCAGTCGATTTCTCGACGCTCTCCCGACCAAAGTTTTAGCCGGAGGTTCTCCACCTCGTTACATTATTTTCAGTCAGATGTTAATTGGTTCTAATCTGTTTCAGGTTCGGTTCTATACAAGGTTTGAGATCAACGATCAGACCGGAGAATCTCTCTCAGAGAAGGATATGATGAGTCTTCACTACCAGAGAATCGGAGGTAGTGTTTGAGAAATTTTGTTAAATAATGCTTTTCATTTTTTTTGTCATTAGTAGTAATTTTTTATCATACTGATGCCCCCCCCCCTAAAATACTATTGCAAAAACTTGTGTAAAATTATTTTGCCATTTTTCATCTTTTTACTTTTTAGTCAAAAAATAGTGTGAATGGCAAAATAACTAAGAGAGGACTGTGCCCTTTGATATNTTTGAAGGTACCGGGTTGCCCATAAAGGATGAGACTTTAGAGACTACAGTACGGAACTTGTTTTCTTATATTCATGATTCTCTGCAACTGTAAACCTGTTTCTTCTTTGTCAAATCATTATATTTATCCTTATTAGACTTTGTGGGTAACCCTGTAGTTACTGAACTATTTAGATCTGCAACGAGCTGTGTTCGTCAAGTATCCTGAACTAAGGAAACTATCCCTCGCTACAATAGGAAAGATAAATAATTGATTGAAGAGTTTACCAAACTGTTAAATATAAACCAGGATCTGTAATTCAGATGGGGGGTTTGTTCATAGACTTTAAAGGGACTGTTAACAGGAGTTTAAGTGACCCTTCATTTAAAGAGATTAAGATATTCTTGTTTTTCTAATCAAACTTGATCTCAAGGGTACTAAAGAAGTAGTTGAACTAGTTAGTTCGCTGATTTTGAATCTTTGTCCACACACTTCCCGTGTCGGGATTACTATATGTGTAGTTCTTTATAAAAAATCCCTCAACTATCTCTTTAATGATGTTCCATCAAGGTATAAGATACTTATATCCTACTAGAATTAGTTGAAAACTTTTAAACAAACATTATTCATACAAACTCCTCCAACAGACAAATAATGACCCTGAATCAGATTTTATTGGATTTGGATACTGAGAAGGGATTACAAAATTTAAATATAAAAACTAAAGTAATTATTTTTTGACCGGATCAAATCTGAATCCAGTTTTTAGAACAGATTGGGAAGGGGAAGCTAGGGGGATTAGAGACATGTGTTTATTCAAAATATGATTATTTTTATATCCATAATTGTCCAATTTTAAATTTTAACAACTTTATATATAGGTTTTCTTTTTTGTTCATGGTGCAACGTAAAAAGTGTATTTGAGAGTTATGATGAATGTTTTTATAATAAACATTATCAAAAAAATTTCTTTATAAAGATAGAAAAGAATATTCAATGGGACCTTACTGTGAAATAAACCTGAGCTGTGATTTAAACGTTATTAAATGAGTTTGCTCCGAATTGAATTAAGATGAATCAAAGAAGGGAAAGGATTGAATTATCTGTGTGTTGAGAGATTAATCTGTTGAATGTTGAACTAAGAACACTTTGATCTGTTAACTACAGTTATAGTTTAATTTAGTTTCAAGATTGTTGGGATCATATTAGTTTGTCTTTCTCATCTTCACCATACTCACTCATCTTCCTTTCTTCTTATCTTCATTATACTCATCTTCATTATACTAGTCTTCATTCCTTCTTATCTTCATCATGCTCATCTTCATTCCTTCTTTTGTACAATATGTTCATCTTAATTCCTTTGTTTGTTCATTATACTAATCTTTATTCCTTCTTAAGACTTGCTTTTATTCATTTGTAAAATTATTATCTTGGTTCAGCTAGTATAGAGGACCGTGATCAGTTGGTAAAATATTTCCAGAGGTTAGGACGGGATACACTCTATGATATCTGTGAGTACCTACACCTGGTCCCACCCAAGGGGAGTGCTGAGGACTCAGAGAATGAATATAGCCAGGTTAACTTTTATTAAAGTACTAATCCTTGTTTAAAGGTACCCTTGATTTAAAATCGTTACATGGCCGATTCACAGCGGTTTCTTTAAGCCCCTAAGTCAATTTGAAATGGTTAAAATATTGTCGTTATTCCGTGTTTAAAAATTTATCATCTCTTAATTTCCCTTCATTTGCTCTGTTGCTATAATCCACAAGGAACCTTTATAGAGAACCCTCATTGCACTGAGAAAGGTCTAATGGGCACAAATGTGAATCATACATACAACTCTTTATATGGAAGCTCACTTGAAATTACGTAGACAGAACCTTAAATTTCTACGGAATTTATTGATAATTTTCTTTCTTAGTTGACCTAGGATCTTTATCCTCCCCCCCCCCCATAGACGCTGCTTTGCTTCTTAATTTTAACATTGAACCCGTGAATAGTGTAGAATAAGAGTATGTCTATATCTAGGAATTCCTGGCTGAACTAGTTATATCCCGACACGAGAAGAGGGATTCTCAACTACAAGAGTTGAATGAAATGCCTCTCTATCCAACCGAGGTATTCAAATATACAATCTAATATTATTCTTTCTATTGTTCATCCCTTGATGTATTCTATTCAAAACCTGATAGAAATAAAGTGCTAAAGAGGCTTTTCTCCAGACTCCTCAATAGGATTAAACAAGTATTTTGTTCAGGAGTTTATCTGGGACGAAGGTTTAGTACCCGGAGAATATTATCAAGGAGAGAACCCTCTTGCTCTTCCCAAACTTAACCTACAGTTTCTCACCCTACACGACTACCTGCTCCGTAACTTTAAACTGTTCCAGCTTGAATCAACCTACGAGATTAGGCAGGATATTGAAGATGTGGTGAGCAGGTTGCGACCCTGGAGAGCTGAGGATGATAGTATCATATTTAATGGTTGGGCAAGGATGGCTCTACCGCTCCAGGCCTTTACTATCGTTGAGGTCGCCAAACCTAACATAGGAGAGCGTCAGCCTAGTAGAGTCAGGGCAGACGTGTCTGTACATCTAAGTGTGAGAGACCAGATCAAGTGTGAATGGGAAAATCTACGAAGACATGATGTGTGCTTTCTGTTGACTATTCGTCCTCCTCAGACCGCGACGGATATTAACTATTTTGATATCCCTGCTTCTGAGTATCTAGAGACAACTGGGGTCATGTACGTCCGAGGTTGCGAGATCGAAGGCATGCTGGACGAGAACGGGCGAGTCATTGAAGAGTTTGGATCCGAGCCGAAACCCAAATTTAGCTCCGGAGATCGAACCTTCCGGGTTCGTCTGGATTGTAATCAGTACAGAGAGGACATGGACCAGACCAGCCAGGGGGCAGAGGACGTATACGCGTCCTTTAATGTTCTCATGAGACGTAAGCCAAAGGAGAACAATTTTAAGGCAGTGCTTGAGACTATCAGGGAGTTGATGAACACCACTTGTGTTGTCCCGGACTGGTTGCACGATATTATCCTCGGATACGGAGACCCTGCCTCTGCTCACTACTCTAATATGCCGAACAATATTCCTACTCTCAACTTTAACGATACTTTCATTGATTTCCAGCATTTGAGGGAATCCTTCCCAAACTACGAGGTTCGTGTCGAGGAAGGAGTTGAGCCGGAGAAGATCCTTCCTCCCTTCAAGGTAACCTTCCTTGATGTAGTAGAGAAGAAGAAGCTTGAGTCTGGGAAGAGAGATGAACCGGGAGATGATAAAGTAAGTGTACCCCGTGTACTCACTGTTAAACCATTCACCCAACAGAACAGAGGACCATATCCAAAGAACGTTCCTAAGAAGAATGCTGTGAGGTTTACTCCGACCCAGGTTGAAGCTATCCGAGCAGGAACTAATCCTGGATTAACCATGGTTGTAGGACCTCCAGGTACTGGTAAGACTGATGTTGCAGTCCAGATTATCTCAAATCTCTACCATAACTTCCCAGAACAGAGAACACTGATTGTCACACACTCTAACCAGGCGTTGAATCAGCTGTTTGAGAAGATTATTGCTCTTGATGTCGATGAGCGTCATCTTCTTCGTCTTGGACACGGAGAGGAAGCACTAGAGACGGAGAAGGATTTCTCCAGGTATGGTAGAGTCAACTACGTGTTAGCGAAGAGGCTGGAGCTGTTGGAGGAGGTGAGCAGGTTGCAGAAGAGTCTGGGCGTATCTGGAGATGTAGCATATACTTGTGAAACTGCAAGGTAATCATCAACTTGCATTGATTTTAATCCGTTTTTTAAAGTTTTTTTTTCTGGCGTTCAGAAAGCTCAAGTTTATTATGTTTCAATTGTATGTTCTGAAATCTAAATACAAAGTTAGATTTGGTTACACAGTACAAATTGTTGGCTTTGATAGATTTTTTCCAATAGTTTCATTGTTTTTGCTACGTGCAGGCTTATATTTTTTGTTAGTAGCAACATTCTGTATTATGTAATAAATGTAAACTCCAAGAGAATAACAGATTGGATTATACTAAACCAAAACCTTAAATGTTGTAAAGAAAGTCTTGTGCATGCTAGGATGACCAATACTTAAACTGTAAACAAAACAAAAGCAGAAAAGGTACGCAAAATAATTGGCTTTTTGTTTTTGTTTTTAATTTGGAAAACATGGATCAATTATTTACTATTGTCAAAGTCTAGAGCAAGATTCCTTGTCTATCCTGAGTATGAAAGATGGATGAATTTATCAGACATATTTGCATTTTATTAAATTCTGGAATGCAGAGGTGAAAACGAGAATATGAAAATATAATGTATATTTTCCTCGGATCAGACCCATTACAGGCTCTCCAAATATATATTTACATTGAATTTGTATCTGATATTTCTTATTTCAGGTATTTCTACCTGTACCAGGTTCTCTCCAGGTGGGAGGAATATCTCTCTAAGGTTAGCGGACCGAACTTCTATGAGAAGATTGAGAAGGAGAAACTGGATGATCTCTTTCCCTTCCACGTTTTCTTCTCCAACGCCCCGAAACCTCTGTTCCATGGGAGCAGTTATAAGGATTATTTTGAGTGCGCTATGTGCTGCTGGAGATACATATCTGATATATTTACACAGTTAGACGAGTTCTGGGCATTCGAGCTTCTCAGATCAGGTTTAGACAGAACAAGATATCTTTGTGTCAAGGAAGCCAAGATTATTGCTATGACCTGTACCCATGCTGCTCTCAAGAGACAGGAATTGGTCCAGCTTGGGTTCAAGTATGATAATATTCTCATGGAGGAGTCAGCACAGATCCTAGAGATCGAAACCTTTATCCCTCTCCTGCTGCAAACCCCACAGGACGGGATGAACCGGTTGAAACGATGGATTATGATCGGAGACCACCACCAGCTTCCTCCGGTCGTCAAGAACATGGCATTTGAAAAGTTTTCGAACATGGAGCAGTCTCTTTTTACGCGGTTTGTCCGACTGGGTATTCCAACCATAGAACTGGACGCTCAGGGTAGGTCTAGACCTAGTATATGCTCTCTGTATAACTGGAGATACAGAGCCTTAGGCAACCTGCCGCACGTTCTCAACCATCCTGATTACAAGGTTGCAAACTCCGGTTTTAGTTTCGACTACCAACTCATTAATGTACCAGACTTCAACGGTATCGGAGAGAGTCAACCCAGTCCGTTCTTTTACCAGAACCTGGCCGAGGCTGAGTATGTTGTAGCTGTATACATGTACATGAGATTAATCGGGTTCCCAGCACACAAGATCTCAATCCTCACAACATATAACGGACAAAAGGCTTTGATCCGTGATGTTTGTGCTGCCCGGTGTGCCAGCAATCCTATTATAGGAATGCCGCATAAGATCGCTACTGTAGATAAATATCAAGGTCAGCAGAACGATTACATTCTTCTCTCTTTGGTAAGAACCTACAACGTTGGACATCTGAGGGATGTGCGTCGTCTAGTGGTCGCTATGTCTAGAGCCAGGTTGGGTTTATACGTGTTTGCCCGTGTCAGTTTATTCAAGAATTGTTTCGAGCTTCAACCGGCGTTCAATATCCTGATGAAACGTCCTCTTCAGCTTCATCTCTGTCCTAACGAACTGTTCCCCTCCAAGAGAATGGCGAACGTGACTGCTCCGAACCCCGTTATCGTTTACGACATGCCAATGATGTCCAAGTTCGTCGTGGACTTCTACCAGGACAAGGTTAAGCAGCTGAAGATGATCCAGGCGCGAATGGCCCCGAAGCCCGGCGAAATAAAACCGGTTCTAAAGACAGGGGCGACCAGGCAGCATCCAGGGGATGACGACAGCGACGACGAGGACAAGGTTGTGCTCAAGGAGATTGAGAACGAGCTGGAGAAGGAGGATAAGATGGTTTCCGCGGAGAACAAGGCTGCAGCCGCCCTGGAGAAGGTGTTTGTTGAACCAGAGGAGGGGATGGAGACGGAGGAGAAGGATGAGTAGAGAGAGTACCTTGAGTTGACCAAATATAGTTTCATATTTGCATTTTTTTTGTAATCAATATATCTTTAAATGGTGGTCTTTTTTTTAAGCTTCGTATTTTTAATTTTTACCTACGCAAGTCGTAGACCGTTTTTATATTTCTGCTAGATTAAATAGTTGTAACTATCAAAGGATTACACAATCAGCTTGCAAAGATATATACAAATAATATATATTATATAATATAATAATATATATATATTATCCATTAAAAGCCCTGTTATTACTAGAAATTCAACCTATATTTGTCCCCTAACCCTAACCTAGGAGATAACTTTAACTTCAAGAAGAAAAACGTTTTTTTGTCAAGTTGATTATTTTAAGATTGTTAAAGGTTTTACTAGAAACTCGTGAGGATTTATTTTGAAGAGTTTGGTACACCATATCATGCTCTGCTACCTATCTATATTCTGCAGACCCTCTCCCTCTGTAAGTTATGATAATTAGAAAAATTGGAAATCTGAAATATGTATTAGTTAGTAATTTTGGTAATAGAGAAGGAATAGATATCTTACAGGGGGTTCATATTTAATAATTTTGGTAATAGAGAAGGAATAGATATCTTGCAGGGGGTTCATATTTAATAATTTTGGTAATAGAGAAGGAATAGATATCTTGCAGGGGGTTCATATTTAATAATTTTGGTAATAGAGAAGGAATAGATATCTTACAGGGGGTTCATATTTAATAATTTTGGTAATGGAGAAGGTATAGATATCTTAAAGGGGGTTCATATTTAATAATTTTGGTGATAGAGAAGGAATAGGTATCTTACAGGGGGTTCATATTTAAAGCGAGGAAACCTCTTTTTGAATCTACAAAATAATTTGTTTAGCCTAGATACATTTGTGACCAAGACAAGTTTTCGATAAAGCAGCAATGATAAAAATCTGTTTGTTTTAATCCAGGATTCGACACTAGGTGTACACCTCAATTTGTATTTAAATCCCGGATAGTTGGCAAAAAAAGTTTCTGAATTGAAGAAGTATGGATTCATAATGATGAAAAGGAAAAGGGAAATCAAAATACTTTTGTTAAATAAATAAATAAAAGAGCTTTATCGTTATTAATGTTTTATGTATAAACTATTACTCTTCTAAGCTTTAAAGGAACTTTAAACGTGTTAATTGACTTTTCAATTTAAAAAAGTAAAAAGTGGCATGTCCGATTTGCAACAAGACCTATGTTAACTTTTACCTGAGTTTGTTGTCTCTACTGCATAAGTCATCAAGGAGAGCGAGGGAAAGCAGGCGGCCATAAGCCACACCATTTTCCCCTTCCATGCCACATATTAGCTGTTTTGTCTTCCGGTATCTATAAGCATTCGAGTCTTCTGGCGGTTATTACGTTAAAAAATGGTAAATTTAGTGAATTGAAATTGGGATTTTCAAAAATCCAGTAATTTCATGAAAAATATATTTAAAGATTTATATTTATTTATATTTTAGTTTTCAACTGAAATAAGTATAATCCCTTTTAATGTAAACTGCTAACCCTATTTTTTCCCAAAAATAAATTTAACCTTTCCTTAAAATGCTTATTTTTGAAAACGTGAACATTAAAGATTATGCACCATAACATACTCGTTTTAAGTTCAAATTTCTCCCATACCGAAAATGTTCACTATTTAATGAGAAATCTGTAACGCTCGCGTAATGACCGTTAATATCGTGATTTTTCTCTTCTTATTCTTTGGCCTACTCAAACAATTTGTCTCGGTGACTATAATGCACAATGATGTAATCAATTCATTGATCTTTAATAAACTTCTAACATTTCTTAAAGGTATCATGTTTCGCGTAATACGGCTGGATTCACAGGCCAAGGATGTGAATCGGACATGATAGTTAATTATTGGAGGATCACTTAAAATTTCGTCTTCAGTCCCTTAAACAGTTGAGAGTATTAACATATGTCTGAGACATTTTAAAACTTGGTTTCTACAAATATACTGTAAACTATGGCGGGAAAACAGAAATATCCCCTGTTTATAGAACTTAAGTAAACGCCGTAGAATGGGACACCCAACTGTCTCTTTTCATTCATATTTGTATGTTTGTACCCAACCAATACCGGTTTCAATTTTAATATGATCTTAAAAGGACCCAGTACAGCCAGTTAAAATAAAAAAGGACGATTATTAAAAATTTTCGAAATCCGCTATTGAACATCTAAAAGGAAAAATTGTAACTAAAAAGGGGTGCCAAGCGTCACGGAAGTCTCATAGAGCCACAGTAAAAAACAAACCTAAACATTTAATAGCTATAATTATTTATTCAAATGTTAAGTGTGGAGTCTATTAACCCTCATGCATCAAAGACATTTTGTCCAAGATCATTCCCTTGTCAGTGATATTATAATTTTTTCAGAATTATTTATACTTTCATTCAGTTGATTTCTGAAGAAACACAAAGACATTAAAACCTAGAATTGCCATCCTGGAGTTTCTCGAGAATTATTTGACATTAGTATCCTGGTTAGCTTTGGTTTTCTTTGTGTTTTTACAGTCTTATACTGAAAAAAATATATTATTTTCGGAACTAAACTTGAATTTAACCCTTCCATAAAAATTCCAAGTTCACTTTAAAAAAAACTTTTTACTAAACTTCAATTAAAAACTACTTTTAAAATAAGTTTGAACTAATTACAAGTTCTAAATCAGTTTAAAATTCCTAATAAAAACACAGTAAAAAAAGTTTTAAAAAATTCTTAATAATTTCAATATTTTCGTACAAAAATCCAGCTGAAAAACGCATAGATAAATTAATAAACATAGATAGCTTATGTACGCAAAATCACCAAGAATTGTACAGTCCGCGAACTCATAGTTCTAAGGGTCAAAGTGTACTTCAATGATAAGCGGGGTGGTTTGGTGTTTTAATGGATTTCAAAATTATTAAACCATTCAGGAGTGAATTTTTTTTTGAGAATATCAAATTATCAAATTATCATATTGACGAGAACTGAAGAAGGACATGAGAAGGACTAAACTAACTTAAAGTTCTCTCTACAGAACTCATGTACACCACTGGCCAATTTCTTAGAGGTTCTACCATAGGCAGAACCATAGTCAGACTATGGTTACGCTTTACCAGAGCAGTGTAGATAGATAGATACGACCTATAGTTGTACCTATGGTTAAATGATTAAGAAATTGACCTCACTCAATGACATAAGAACAGCCAATGTTCACAACCGCCCTAGGTAATCTATATAATAGGAATATCTTTAAAACATCTCTGTAGTCTGTACATTTATATCTTTCAAGATAAAAAATGTCGTCTTATGCCCAATCTATCAATTTATCTATGGAAAAACGTGTCCTAACATATCAATTTTGAACTGATTTCGAATTAAAAATACAAAACATTTCCGAGTCATTTTAATAATATGATGTTACACAAAGCTTCAAGAGGGCTTTCGACTTTTAGAGGATGGTGAGAAAAACATTGATAGTTTAAAATAACTTATTATAACGCATATTGTTGAAGGAAAGACAGTTTGCCTAATTACTGAAACTCTGAAAGTGCACAAAGGCGTGTGCAGCTTACATATTTATCTCTACATTGGCTGTATACATGCAGTAAGTTTCTTATTGATTAAAGAAAAAAATTGGTATTTGTTTTAAAATGTTACAGTACAATAAAAATATCTAGCTATGTATCACAAATTATACAATACATCGATTTCCGTTCAACCACTGTAATCCAAACTCCCACGCAAACCCAAAGTCCAAGGCGTTGCAATGCATAAAAGTTGAGGTTGTCTAAAAATTTGACGAATAACTTTTTAGATTCAATGAACTGTTCAAATGTTATTAGATGAAGTAGGATATTTTTAGCCCAGGTGTAGCGTTATATCCAGACCGGGCGATATATTTGTGTTACATGTGAAATCCATGTACAAAATTGATAGGGGGGGGGGGGGTCAAATAATCGTATATTTGGAAATTACCGCTGGTTATGTACAAAATTGATAGAACGGGGGGGAAACAAAAAATTGTAACAATTTCAATAACAATGATAATTAATATGCATGCTTTGGGTCCGTCAAAGTAAACAATTTTTGGACCCCGTTCTATCAATTTTGTAATTTCCTAATATACGATTTTTTGACCCCTTCCCCCTCCTATCAATTTTGTACATGGATTTCACATGTAACACTCACCCGGACCAAATATAACGCCCGGGCCTTATTTAACGTGACACCGGGCTGCTGGAGTTCAGTTAAACATATGAATTATTATATCTGAGGATGAATTCAGCTGGAGTGAGGGGAGAAGGGAAATCTACCCAATTGTTTCAAATACTAAATTATTCAAGGCTTAATGCTGTGTAAAGCCAAACAAAATGTTCGAGGGATAGTAAACAAATATAAACATTTAGGGGGGGGGGGCTAGTTCTTATAGTCAATTCAATCTAAAATAAACCCACAAGGGTAAGACTTGAGAAGTCTGCAGAAACACGATGTTTTTATCTTTGCCAACTAAATAAATATATCATTTAAAGACGAGCTTTACAATGAAATAAAATGATATGAAAAATATTTTCAAAACATTTTTATTATTTTCCGTGGGGGTTTTCTTGTTGCAAAGTTCAAACTAAGTTTGAATAAATACTGTTTGAATTTTAAAAGTGTGAGTTACCATTAACCATGAGTATTATTAGTAAATCTGGTGACACAGGCACCAGACATACACGTGTATTTTCTGTATTGAAAAATTAAGAATAATGAAGGATTAGATAAAATGCACTCGTTATGTAATTAAATTAGGCTTTTATGTCGCTTCCTTTCAAACCTCCATTTTTTCGGTTTCCATTGATGGATTTCCAAAATATTTAAATTTAAATTGTTCCTGAGGAAAAATTTTCAATTTCATAAACATTTCTTTGAAATTTAAAAATTAAAAATTTTATGCATGTTTTAGGTTAGAGTTTTATTTGATTTTTTGTGGTCTTATTTGGTTTTAGTATTTTGAAGTTATCAAAAATTAATTTTTTAATAGTTATTGAATTAGAAAATAAAATGCACAAGGAAAACCAATGTTCA